ATACTGGAACCAAACTTTCCATTCTCATGTAGGAACAACTTTTATTTAGCCGTGCCGAGCCATCTTACAGTCCACACAATTCCCCTAGTTTTGTTATTAAGAATTCAGGTAAATATAGATTCCTTCAGTCTTAGACAAATTAACAAACATATGCTTAAGATGGGCTCTTCCCAAACTGGCCTTCCACATCCAGGCCCATCCCTGTTCACCGCTACTTAGCTATCATGGACATTAGGATTGCTTCTCTTCCACCCCCCTGGCTACTGTGGACAGCCCTACTTCACATTCATGGTGTGGGAACCCAATCATAATGTGCCCACTCAGAGATATCAATGGACGGTTCTCCCCCAGAGCATGAAAAACAGCCCCTCCATCTGCCAATGATTTGTTTCCTTGGCCACAGCAAGAGTATAGCCTCATTGCCTGGTTGTCCATTATTGCCTGGTTGTCCATTATACGAATGAGTTGCTACTTGCACATCCCCCCAAGGATCCCCTTTTGAACCTACTAAAAATATTAGTCTTAGATCTTGAGAGCCTTGGCCTTACAGTTGCTAATGAGAGGATTCAGACCCTGCCCCCTTTAGCTTCCTGGGATATAAGACTGCCACTGAGATCAAACCTTTCACTCCTTGGATGGGAAGAGAGGAAGGACACCACTATGGATTAGTGTGGGAGAAAAACAAAGAAACCATGTGGACTGAGGGGAAAGACTCCAATAACAGCACAAAAAGGCCCAGATGAAGAATACAAGCAAGTACCATGGGATTGTGGATGGAAGGTGGACCAAATGAGGAGAATTAAGGTGGATGGCATTGGATGGAGCTGGGACATGGTGAGGCTATTGAGCCAGTATACGTGAAACACCTACCTGTTCCAAGGTAAATAAGGCAATTACAAAATCTAGCAGGTGTCTGTGTCTTATTATTTGTGATATTGGGTTAAATAATACTGCTGTGATAATCTTAGGGTTAATAATAAACATGATATAGGCCAATACACACACACACTCTCTCTCTCTCTCTCTCTCTCTTTTTTTTTTTAAATTTACGACAACAGATTTCCTACTAGAGGTATTTTGACACCTGTGCTGTTTTCTGTGCAGTTATCTGGAGTCCTTGGCTTGAGTTCTGGCTGTCTATAGCCACATGGTCCTCCATGTTGTTCAGTCTATTCAAGCTCATTCTGAAGGGCAGAGACCATACATTCCTCATGCAATTCCAAGGTTTAGGTGAAACATCCCAGGTGAAAATGATTGGTTTGAACCCTGGTCTTGCTATCAATAACGTCCCTAGAAAGCCAGCAGTCCTGTGAGGGCAGTCCCTTTCAGCCCCACTGGATCTTACAAACTCCTAGCTAGGAACCACATACACACAGGGCAGTTCATCTTCAGGAGCCCAGAAGACATAATCTGATATTATGAAGACAGGAGATTCGCAGTCATTGACACACCCTTCTCTCAGATGCAGGACTTTACATTCCAGGCCTGAATCTTCTACTTTAAAGAAAATAACCCAATTGGACATGGCTTAACAAAAGGGGTGGGGGAAACAGAAGAAAGGAAAAGGAAGAATCCAAACATGCTCGTGTATAGACTGAAAACTTAAAGGTGAGTTGATGCATCTCTCCCCATCCACAGTACCACAAATGGGACCAGCAAGGCTAACTCAGACACTTATCCTGGAGCAACATTATTCTATTTTTATAAATATACCCTTAATACATATATATATATTTACATTAAAAGGGGGTATGTAATATTGTTACAGTTTTTGTGGTTGGAGTGCTAGGTAGCAAATACTATTTCCTTAAGAGAGAATTTGGGAAGTCTCAACTCAGGTTTGGATTCCTAGAAGTTCACTGAAAAACAGGTAATCTTTTTTTTTTTTAAAGATTTATTTATTTATCATGTATACAGTGTTCTGCCTGCATGTACACCTGCCCAACAGAAAAGAGACCCAGATCTCATTATAGACGGTTGTGAGCCACCATGTGGTTGCTGGGAATCGAACTCATGACCTTTAGAAGAGCAGCCAGTGCTCTTAACATTTGAGCCATCTCTCCAGCACAACGGGAATCTTTCTGGAAACTTATATTGAACATAGCTTAAAAATTATGTTGTGTAACTCAAGCTTGAGTTTGCTACTAGCCTCAGAAGCTTCCCATTGGCAGCTCAAATATGAGCCTAGCCCAGGACAGGCCTTGATATGCTAATGAACTAACCCCAAGGTGGCACTGATATGGCAGTCCAAATACAAAAGTGAAAACTTTGAGGGTGGTCTCTAGGATTGTACTGCCAATGTTCTGTGCCAGGTTTCTACAGCCTCTGTGTTAGTATCAAGGACTTTAGACTCTTTGTAGACCTAGCCTCAGAGACCTCTGAACTCCTGGCACTGTTGATTGGCCCACTTAAGCACCCCTGTCAGTGCTAGCCATTGCCTTACACTCTCAAGGACTTCCTGGACCTCTTCCCAATCTACCACAATTGAAGGATTTCACAGTGGGCAGTGGTCAAACCTGCACCCTTCTGAAATTTCCAGTGGAACCCTGCAGCAGCACTTCTGCCCAACTATTCCCAGCTTTGTGAAACATCTGTTTAACTTTTTTATATATTAGCATGATATTGTAAGTAATGTTTGTGTGAATAAACCATTTTGAAAGACAAACTTTGTGTGGACATTCTAACTGCCAAGTGCCTTATAGTCCATAGGTTCGTGCTCTCTGAAAAGCTTTAACTGAAAAGCTTTAAAAGTAAAGTCTAAAACAAAACAAAGGGACTGGCTTATGTGTAAACCTGAAAGAGAAATGGACAGTGACACATTCTTCTAAGTTTTAAAGACACCCAGCAGTGGGGTTGGTCACTCAGGTTGTTGACAGATTAATCCACAGATACAAGTTCTGATACAAGTATTTTTTATAAATAGTTTAAAAAATAATTAAGACTTGCACTCTCACCTTTTTTTTTTTTTTTTTTTTTTTTTTTGAGACAGGGTTTCTCTGTGTAGTCCTGGTTGTCCTGGATTCACTCTGTAGACCAGGCTGGCCTTGAACCCAGAGATTTTCCTGCCTCTGTCAATTCTTATCTACACAAGCTTACAATCTTTATAAATAGGTTCCAAGAAAACTGAATTACATTTACCAAACTCTAGCCACAGAGACAAAAAATATTATCTAAGCTAGCTGACTTGGAAATCAAGTCAAATCTCAGACTTGTACACAACAGAAAACAGGAGACACAACAGAATGGAACTTTGTCCAAACGATACAATGACAATTTTGGCAAATAACATTTTGATAGTAATATACAAATGAATTCAACATGCTCTGCAGGTGCGTCTATGCAGAACATTCAACACGAGCAGTGAGCAACAGAATCCAAGTGGGGGCAGAATGAGAGCACTATAAGCTCAGCGGGCTCTGCCCTCAAGCCCAGACGGCTCATAGGTGGCACTACAGCGGCCAGGGAATGTGTGTGTGTGTGTGGGGGGGGGGGGGGGGGTAGGGTGTAGATGCAACTTCCAAACTCATAACCAGATGCCCTTACACAGGCCTTACACAAGACCACTAATAATGAGCACACGCGGCGCGACTGGCCTCAACAGTAATTGGATAGCCCAGGCTTAGATCAGATAACTGGCCAGATTGTTCAAGCGGCTTGGCCTGTTTTTGGAGAGGCCACAGCAGCTGGAATGACATCAGGGAATGCCCTCCTTACGCTGGCAACACTGGGAGGGTGGCGCTGACCAGTCATAAACATAGGAGAGGCGCAACTGCACCTCGTGCTTGCACAACTGGCCCCCACGCAGCAGCGTCTGATGCTTCTCCAGCATGTCCTCCGGGCTCTGTTTGTGTGTTACCAAGTACTGATTGCTGCAGCCTCGAGATTTGTACTCCGTGTCAAAGCGTGGGTCGTGCTCCCGTTGCACATCCACTGGTGCTAGCCAGGTGCCCAGCGACACGTCTTCACTGTGCCACAAGCGCAGGTATTCCCGGCTGAGGCGCAGGTAATGCACCAGGTCCGCGGAGAGGACATACCCACCGCCCAGAGCGTAGGGCAGGTAGTAGTCACAGAGTTGCCAGGCGGCTTCTCGCCAGCGACCTCCGGGCTTGACGCGCCCACGCCCAGAAAAGAAGCCCCAGTAGAGGCGTCGGCGGCGTGCAGGCTCACGTGCACGTAGCTCCGCCAGCAGAGCGTCCAGGCGCGCAAAGGAGTCGTCATCTGCCTTGAGCACGAATTCAAAGTCCACGCGCTCATCCAGCCAGGTCAGCATGGCCAGGACCTTGGCCGTGAGGTTCTCGTAGGCATCGCGCAAGGCGGACAGCAGCAGCAGGTCCCCGTGCTGTGCCTGCTCAAGCTCGAGAGCGCGCCGCTCCTCTGAGCTTAGGCCGCTTGTGCCCACAGCGAAGCGCGCCCACACGTCCGTGGGGCCGCCGCGACTCCCCCGTGCCAGCCACGTGTTGCGCACCGCGGTGCGGCGCTCGATCGCGCGGGGCGCACTGGCCACTAGTACTGCCAGAAAGGCCTTAGCGCGGGGTCGAGCGGCTCCGCCGGCGGCGTGCGTCTCGCTCTCAGAAGCGCAGTGCGCCAAGTACAAGAGCGTGGTGCTGCAAAACGCCAGGCCACCAAGGCCCAGCACCACCCGGCTCCGCCAAGCGCGCCGAAGCACCTTCATGGTGCGGGCGGGAGGTCACCGAGTACGCAGGCGCGAAGGCCTGAAGGCGCCTGCGCGACTGGCCGACCCGCGTAGCGGAATAGGCCTGGTAGTCGTGGAAGGACACCCGGGGGCTGGGCGTTTAGACTCTCGGGAATCTGACGTCCAGGGCGCCTTTGAAGGTGAGGGCTAGAACAAGAACAAGCGACACGTGAGCTTACGTGCCATTTTTATTGGTGATTTCTCGGAGGTTGCTTCCGCCCATAAGAAAGATGGCGCCACCGACGTTCATGCCTGAGTCCCTGCCAGTTCTCACGGTTCTCAGCTGACATACTCTCCCTTTCCCGGAAGAAAGATGGCGGCGGCCTGAGCCGAGGTCCGCGTACGACTTCGTGGGTGCTCAGCTGCGCTCCTCAGACCCGGCGCATCAGAAAGCCGGGGGTGAGTGAGGGAGTCCCTGAAGTCGCTTTGCGAGGGGCAGGCTCGGGAAGCCACTCGCTCACCGTTTGCGACGCACTAGGTCAGAGCCCGAGTGACCCCGCGGACCGCCCTTTTAAGAGTGCGCCCGCCCTATTGCTCGGCTGCTGCTTCCGGAACTTACTCTGCCGGGGGGAGGGGGGGGACTGAGGCTCGGGGCTCTACTACCGGCTGGCGTTGTGACCTCAGCTTGTGGCCCAGCATCTCTGCCTCTGTTTCCTCTTCGGTAAAATGTGCGCCATGAGTTCTAGTAATACGAGTTGGAAATTGAAGGCCTGTGTAAGACCTTCATACTTGCCCGGCTTTGAGACAGTTTTCTTTGGCTGTACTTCGTACTTCCTAAAATGACAGAATGACAGATCTTGTTTATTTTTATTTACTTTTTTTTTTTTTTTTTTGAGACGGGGTTTTCCTGTGTAGCCCTGGCTGTCCTAGACTAAGCTGGCCTCGAACTCACAGAGAACCGCTTGCCCATTCTCTCAAGTGCTAGGATCAAAGGTGTCCACCACCACTGCCCGGTATTTACGTTCTCATTTTTGTGTTGCCGGAGGAGAGCGAATCCAGCACCTTACAAATGCTGGGCAAATGCTCTACTACTGGGCAGAGTCACCAGCCCCCTAACCACTTTTGAACTGTCTTAGACTATGTTGTTTTTTATATTGTGATGGTTTTTTTTTTTCTTCTTTCTTTTTTTTTTTTTTTTTTTTCTTTATCTTTTCCTTTTGTTGTTATTGTTAGTTTTGAGGCAGGGTTTCATGTAGCCCAGATTGGCCTGAACTTCCTATTTAGATGAAGCTGGCCTTGAACTAGTCTGTAATTGACGTACTTTAAAGGCCAGCCTGGTCTACTTGGCAAGCTCTTGGCCAAGTAAGGCTATATAATGAGATCCTGCCTCAAAACAAAAAAGCAAGTAAGCAAACAAAAAGAAATATTGTGAATTCATCAGAATTGTAAGGATGGCAGAGAAGTACAAGTATTCCCCAGCTGTCTATTTGTGTGTAGCTCCTACACACAAATCAGTTCCCAACAGGCAGTCAGCAGGAAAGCCGGTAACATTTCTAGTGGAGGTGACAATGACCCCTTGAACTGCCATCAACAGCAGTCAAATGACATTAAATTTGTCAAACTAAGTGACAGCTGCTCTATTTTATGATTAGTTGTTAAGCATAATCTATAAATTGAACTTTGCTGTACCTACCTATAGGAATAAACAGTCCCCCCAGGAGTTAGTTCACCTGAGGTTTCAGGTTTCAGGCACCCACAGGGTGGCTGGGGAATACTTGTACTTCTCTGCCATCCTTACAATTCTGATGAAATCACACTATTTCTTTTTGTGTTGTCTGAGTGACAACAGACTCCTTTAGCTCTGGGCTCTTGGTAGGATATACTTCCTAGGGCATGCTTTGAGTACTGTTCTAATGGCTAATTTACACTATGCTTTTGAGTAGTATTTTGTCACAGGATATTTGATCCCATTGTGAACCCCAAAATTGTAACTATAAAACCCTGTTTCTTGTTTGGTGTGGTTGAGCGCTATCACACAGCTCTAATCCAATAACTCTGTTTATTGTAAACAGGTGATTACAGTATAGTTCGGCTCTAGCACACACCTTTAATCCAAGAACTTTCTATATGAAGGATTTAATAAATTAACCCTAGGTCAAGAGTAGGAGCAAGAAACCATCTGACAAGGGATTAAAGAGTAGAGGGACTTTGAGTTGAAGGGTATTTGAGACAGGTGTAGAAGCAGAAGTGTTTAAGCTCTGGCTTTAGTTCTCTAGCTCTCAATTTTGGGGTTCACAATGGGATCAAAATCCTGCCACAGAACTTCCAGTATTTAGTGTCTCTGGAGACAGCATTGGTTGGGTGTCTTAGATTCTAGTAGCTCGGCAATATTGGGATAAAGAAGTTAAGTCAGAGGGTCCTTTCGAGGGGAGACAGCTGTCACACAAAGGTGGGACAAGACTGCTCCTGGAAGTCTTGCACATTGGCAGGAAGATGGATTTGGGGAAGAAGTAATTGTGTTCCATGTCCTGTGCACAAGTAGACTTCCTGGGCACTTCAGGTTTCCCAGTGTTCGTGGTGAGCTTGAGTGCAGACATGTCGGTGCAGGCACAAGTGTAGATGTATATGGTTGGTGCAAGTCTGGCTGGTGACTGCAGTTTTCACTTATTCAACACACAGTGTACATAGGTCCCAGTCCACACAAAATTCTGAGGTGGGAAGTAGGGGCCACTTAGTGAGAAGCACACCACAAAGGTCAGATGACTTAACCAAGGTCACAGAGCTCAGTGTTAAAGTTGGGATCTGGATCGTGAGTGACCATAGCCGTATGGTAAACCCTGTAATACTGATCAGGGAGGGACAGGGTCAGATTTGCTGTATTGCTGGCAGGCTATACTGTTGTTCTGTGGGGTTAGGGTGCTGGATAGATGAGCACCTATAACTGGTGACAGCTTTGAGCTGGGACTTCAGTCTGGCCAAATGTGTTCCTTCAGTTTCTTTTAAAAAGTAAAACATTATTTGTTGTCTTCCCCCCTTTGTCTTTTTCCTATGGTGCTGGGAATCAACCCTCCAAGAGTTGAGCATGCCAGACAAATGTTTTACTGAGCCATAGCCAGCCCTGTATATGTAAATTTTGTTTGCTTTTTGAGGCAGGATCTTACTGGAGCCCAAAGAACTCATAGAGATCCATCTATGTTTGGAGGAACTCATAGAGATCCTTCTGTGTGCTGGGATTAAAGCTGAACGCTACCATACCCTGATTGATTATTAAATCATGTTATAAAATAAATGTTTTTAGTGAAGCATTTGCTGGATTCCACTTACCTGTGGTGGTCTGTCTTTTTTTTTTTTTTTTTTTTCCTCCTGAGACTTTATTTCTCTGTGTAGCCATGGCTGTCCTTAAACTCTGTCTGTAAACCAGGCTGTCCTGGAACTCAGACATTTACCCACCCTGAGTGCTGGGATTAAAGGCAAGTGCCACCACCACCTGGCCTGGTCTGTCTTCTTTGTAGACTGTCAAGTTCTGGAGGCTGCCATCAGCCTTCACCTTTCTTGGCAGTGCTAGTAACCCAGAACCTTTGTAGTATTCAGGGCTCTATTTTGAGCTGTGATTTCCCTTTCTTCCTTACTGCCGCCTCTGACTCCAGCTCCTGGTTCACACCTTGCAGGAGTCCCTGGCTGGTGGCAATGACATCCAGGCAGACTTCCCTCTGTGGTCTGGCTGCTCATGGGCTCTGGTTCTTGGGCCTTGTGCTTCTGATGGATGCATCTGCTAGACCTGCCAACCACTCATCCACTCGGGAAAGAGCAACCAACAGGGAGGAAAATGAAATTATACCACCAGACCATTTGAATGGGGTGAAGCTGGAAATGGATGGGCACCTCAACAAAGACTTCCACCAGGAGGTTTTCCTGGGAAAGGACATGGATGGGTTTGAGGAGGACTCAGAGCCACAGAGAAGCCGGAGGAAGCTGATGGTCATCTTTTCCAAGTAGGTGTCTTGTGTGTTTCCTGCAAATGCATGCCAAGGGATATAGGATTTGAGGTGATAATCCAGTTACCATAAACTGTTCTTCTAGCACAGCAGTTCTCAACCTATGGGTCGTGAACTCTTTGGGGATTAATGATTCTTTTACAGAGATGGCTTAAGACCATTGGAAAACACAGATGTTCACATTATGATTCAGAACAGTAACAAAATTACAGCTATAAAGTAGCAACGAAAATAATTTTATGTTCCACAACATAAGGAACTGTATTAAAGGGTATCAGCATTAAGGTTGAGAGCCACTGCTCTAGTACCTTATACTTTGATAGGACTTGGAGGGCCGAAGCTGGGCTGCTCAGCTATATGTAGGCCCTCATAGCCAGGAAGACCTCAGGATAGACTTCTGCCCCCACCCTCACCTCTCAAGGACTTTGGGCATCACTGTTCCAACTATAGGCTTTATCAGTTGAAAGCATAAAGTCAGGCCAAAGTGGAAAGTGGAGTGGTCACAGCAGGTTATAATTCCACCCTTCCTCTCTTCCTCCCTCCCTTCCTCCCTTCTTTCCTCCCTCCCTCCCTTCCTTTTTTTCTAAGGTAAGATCTCACTTTGTAGCCCTGGCTTGCCGTGGACTCACAGTGATCCTTCTGCTTGTCTGCTTGCTTGATTTGTGTTTTTTTGAAACAGGATCTCTCTATTATATAGCTCTGGCTATCCTGGAACTCACTATGTAGATCAGGCTGGTCAAATCCTGGGATTAAAATTGTGCACCATCACACCTGGCTCTTTGTTGTTGTTTGTTTTGTTTTGTTTTTCGAGACAGGGTTTTTCTGTGTGGCCTTTGCTGTCCTGGACTCACTTTGTAGACCAGGCTGGCCTCCAACTCACAGAGATCCACCTGCCTCTGCCTCCCAGAACGCTGAGATGACAGGTATGCACCACCAAGCCTGGTCACATCTGGCTCCTCCTCTGCTTTCTCAGTGCTAGGATAAAAGTTTTTGCAACCATATCTGCCTTTTTTTTTCCTTATTAAGTTTTATATTTACTCAAGGGCAATTTTATTAGAGTTTAAAAGAAAATTAACTCAGGGAAGGCAAGCTGTAAATCTCAGCAGTTGCCTTACCTTAACCCTGAAGAGGAACATTCTAGAGAGAAAGAAAAAAAAAAACAAAACATGCTATTTGAGATACTGGCATGGAAGTTCACCACATTTGCAGCAGACGGCCAGCCACGTAACAGAGAGGTAAGAGGCTTTAGAGAAATAGTAAGGAAGCCCAGAAAAAAAAAAAAAAAAAAAAAGAAGCATACTTTTAGTTCTCTTCTTCTACCATGTCAGTACTTGGCATAAAACTTAGATTGTCAGGCTTGGTGGCAAGGGCCTTTTCTCACTGGGCCATTTACTAGTCCTGATGCATATTCTTTCTTCTGACATTCTACTGTGTTTAAGGGTTCCTGTTATCTATCCCCAAGTCCCAGGATCTTTGTCACTAAGACCTTGGTTCTATTCTTGGACAAAATGTTAGGTTTCGAAAGGGACTTTGCTATTCCTTTGTTGCATGTGAAAGTTTTTGTGTGGTATAGCTGATGTATGTAAACTGTGCTGTGATCAGAAGGGTTATGAGCTAGGTATGCCTTTAATGCTAGCACTCAGGAGGCAGAGGCAGGTGGGTCTCTGAGGTCAAGGCCAACTTACTCTACAGCATGAGTTCCTGGACAGCCAGGGCTACATGGAGAAACCCTGTCTCAAAAAACCAAATAGACAAGTAGATAAATAAATGAAGGATTATGATTTTGCCCATTGTACCTCAAGTGGGAGAGAGTCTATGATCTATTCTGTCTTCAGATGGCAGCTTCTGACTTAACTGCTCCCATACAATCTTCCTTATAGTCTCTGGTCCTCCCTGGTGGCCCCTAGTATGCCCCCAGTCACTGGATTTTCTGTAACAATTCCAAATGGAGTGTGTTGCTATTTGTGGTAGATTCACGGCTATCTGTGTAATTCCTGAAACCAGAAACATTTGCCTTTCTGTTGAGGGTCCTAGAGCCCGTCTGATGCTTGTGGTTTGCCTGCTTGTAGGGTAGATGTGAACATGGACCGGAGGATCAGCGCTAAGGAGATGCAGCACTGGATCATGGAGAAAACAGCAGAGCACTTCCAGGAGGCTGTCAAGGAAAACAAACTACACTTCAGGGCTGTAGACCCTGATGGTGATGGTACAGTGGGCCCAATTGGCAGAGCTAGGTGAAATGGGTGAAGTCAGGCAGGATACTCCAGGTAGGACCTGACCAATGTCCTCAGGCCAAGGGACAGAAGAGTGGAAGAGGACACCATAGGGGTAGGGGTTCTTAAGGCACATGTGTTAGTTTCTGATGCTGGCTGTGCATTTGTTGAAACTAAAGGACACAGCAAGTACCACACTGACATAAATGATTAAAAAAAAAATCCATGTGTGTGGGTGGGCACACGTGTGCACATACCTGTGGAGGCTAGGATTAACATTTGGCATTTTGAGTCCAAAGCTCCCTTGATTTCATTAGTCTAACTAGCTTGTGCCAGAGATTCTGCTTTCAGTCTCTGCTTTCAGTCTGGGATTATAGATGGACCTCCACATCTACCAGCTTTTACATAGATGTTGGGGATTCAAATTCTGGTCTGCATGCTTGCATGGTAAATGCTTTACCTGGAAACCATCTTCCCAGCTGTGACCCAGGTATTTTAGTTGAAAAGTAGTACTAGGCTGGGCAGTGGAGGCCCATGCCTTTATCCCAGCATTTGCAGAGAGGCAGAGGCAGATGGATCTCTGAATTCCAGGCCATCTTGGTCTGCAAAGTATGTTTCTGGAGAGCCAAGAAACCCTGTTTCAAAAAACCAAAAAAAAAAAAAAAAAAAAAAAGAAAGTAATACTAGATCCACATTGGCAATCTCAGTGCTCAGGAGACTGAACAAGAATCTAAGCAGTCAGGGCCAGCCTGGGCTACATACTGAGATCATTTCTCAACACACCAAAAAAACCCAGTAGCTCTTAAATGATGTTTGGGGTTCCAGCCGGATGCAGAGGCTCACTCCTGTAATCCCAGCACTTGGGAGGCAGAGGCAGGTGAATCTTTTTGAGTTAAGGCAAGCCTGGTCTACAAAGTGAGTCCAGGATAGCCAACACAGAGAAATCTTGTCTTCAAAAGCCAAAAAAAAAAAAAAAAAAAAAAAAAAAATTGGGTTTCCCTTGGTGTTCTCCCATTATATACTGCCAGCTAGTATCTCTCAACCCCAAGGGATAAAAGTCCCAGCTGACTCTACTGTTGAGGAAATTGGTACAGGGTATGGTCAAAGCTGTGGGCTGGGTACTAGTTGCTCTGCCTCTGGATTCGACTGTGGCAAATCTGGATATCCTCAGCCTCCCCTAGTACTAGGCAGCCAGCACAGAGGAGTTTATACCCTCTGCCCTGTGGCTGTCTGTGGCCCAAGGATTTCTAGCAGATATCCTAAAATAACTGTCTTTTTCATGACCTTCTCTGCTAAGTGTTGTGACAGGATCATGATCTCTTTTCAGGCCGTGTGTCCTGGGATGAATATAAAATGAAGTTTTTGGCAAGCAAAGGCCACAGTGAGAAAGAGATTGCTGACGCCATCAGAAACCATGAGGAGCTCAAAGTGGATGAGGAGAGTGAGTGCTGGGTACCAGCAGCTGGATATCAGGTTGCTGTGCTTCCATAGGGTGGGCTGGCTAAGAGTGGAGGGCTAGCTCTGTCTTGGCTTGAGACTTGGGATCTGGTGCTTTAAAGTATAGGCAGGGAGGACCTGGATCCAGCAAGAGAGCTCTTTACTAGCTCCTCTACTAGGGAGCAGCACCCTTTGTCAAGATCTTGAGTCACTTGAGCTGAATAGTGACATCCACAACATTCAGCAGTGCCCTGGGACCTCAAGAGTGATGTCACTTCCAGGTGGAGCCATGGACAGTCTGGTTTGGAGGTAACGTTGACATGCTGGTCTTTGGGATATGGAACAGGACTCAGAACTGGGAGGAATAGAAAGCCCTGAGGGGCAGTTGTTAGGAAGGAAAGTCTGGAGCTGGTTTGTATAGCATAACTAAAGGACCTACATGGTCTCCGGTCCTAGACCCTTCTCCCCTCATTCCTTGGCTGTAGCGGGTGACTCATTCACAGCCCTGGTCTGGCTCTGTGGAGGGTCAGGACTGTGGTGCCCTGTTGTTACCCATAAGTGACTCATCGGCCTGTCGCATTGTGTCCAGTTCTCGGCAGACGTGCACATAGTGCTCTGCCATCTCGGCCTGTCTGTGCAGCTAACCCCAGGAGAGGCCAGGGCCTATAGAGTGGCACTTCACACCTTTCCAGACACGTTTTGCTTTGATGTCTGTCCTGTGTCTTGAGCCTGGGGTGTCTTTGTGAAGCTCATTCTGCCATCAGGACTTATTAAGAGGTGTTTAGAACTTACACTGTTATTCTGGCTGATTTTTGTGTCCATTTGACTCACGCTAGAGTCCTCAGAGAGGAAGGAGCCTCAGTTGAGGAAATGCCTCCATGAGATCCAGCTGCAAGGCATTTTCTCAATTAGTGATTAACGGAGGAGAAGCCAGCCCATTGTGGGTGGTGCCATCCCTGGGCTGGGTTTTTTTTTTTTTTTAAGAAAGCAGGCTGAGCAACTCAGTAAGCTTCCCTATCAGCTTCTGCCTCCAGGTTCCTGCTCTGCTTGAGTTCTGTGAATAGTGATGTAGGAATAAATCCTTTCATCCCCAACTTCCTTTTTGGTCATGGTGTTTCATTGCAGCAATAGAAACCCGAAGACAACTATCAAAGGTCTTCATGCCTGAGCCTCATCCACATCTGATCTTCTTGAGCCTGTGTATTAGTTACTTTTCTATTGTGATAAAACATTACCAAAGGCAACTTAAAAAGATTTTATTTAGGTTATGGTTCCAGAGGGTTAGAGTCCATAATGGCAGCAATCAGTAAGCATGGTGGCAGGAACAGGAAGCTGAGAACTCACATCTTGAACTGCAAACATAAAGAGTGAACCTCAGTTGGGCAAAACTGTAAATACTCAAAAGCCCAATCCCAGTGATTTACCTCCAGCAAGGTGTTACCTCCTAAACTTCTCCCAAACAGTGCCATCATTTGTGTTTAAATGCCTATACTGGGGTAGGGGTAAGGGGGCATTTCTCATCAAAGCCACTACATTCCACTTCCTGGCCCCCATAGTCTCATGACCATATCATAATGTTGTAAGGTTCTGGTAAAAGAGAGAGAGAGAGAGAGAGAGAGAGAGAGAGAACACCAAGGCCTTTTCAGAAAAACAGCTTTAATGTGCATGTATAGGTTCAAACAAACCATGTTCATTAAAAAAGAACAAACAAAAAAAAACCAACCCAGTTCTCAGGCACAGTGAAATAGCTTTTGTTATGATTCTTGTTTCTTTATCTCTCATGTATGCTAACTTACAATTTCATTGGTTATTTAAAAACCTTAAAGTGATGAAGACTGGTGGAAAGAAGTTAAGAGGATTGTTGCTTTTGCAGAGGATCTTGGTTCAGTTCCAACACCCACGTGGTGACTCACAACCATCTGTAACTTCAGTAGCAGGAAAATCTGATACCTGGAGTACCAGGTGCATAAGTGTCACACACATACATTTAGGTAAAACATTCATACATATAACATAATAAAAATAAATCTGAAACAATTTTTAAAAACTTAAGGTGGTATTCTAAAGATGCCCTGGATGTGGAGGAGAGGAGGGGTACTTGGGATGTAGCAAGGTTTCACATAAGCATTTTGACAAAGACTAAGCCACATGGCAGCCTTTCTGTGTATCCTCCAAGGTCTCTAGGAAGGCTTGCTAAGCAAGGAGGAGTTTTCAGGAAAGCTGTGTTTAAGTTTATGTATATTCAGGGACATTGTTTGACCCATGTGACTTTTGTTTTTAGTTGCCCTGGCTCTCAGGGACCCCTTGTGACAATAGTACAAAATGTTTGTAGTCCAAATTCAAAAGTCCCTGTAGTCTTTATTTGTTTGTTTGAGGCAAGGCCTCTCATACCCTAGGTAGCTTAGCTCACAGAGAACACCTTCTTCTGCCTCCCTAGTACTGAGATTAAAGGCATGTACCACTATATCCAGCTCCCCATTGTTAGATTTGTTTTGTTTTTCAAGACAGGGTTTCTCTATGTACCTGGCTGTCCTGGAACTCACTCTGTAGACCAGGCTGGTCTTGAACTCAGAAATCTGCCTGTCTCTGCCTGGGATTAAAGGTGTTCGCCACCACTGCAGGGCTCCATTGTTAGATTTTTGAAGCAGAGTAAAGAGAAGGCAGAAGAAGATGAGGGTCTGAATTTCAACAGGTGATACTGTGTTTATTAACACACACAATGAGAGGCAGTCTCTCTCCTGTGGGAAACTGAGGGGTCTGCCAAGGGGAAAAGCTATTACCCTTTATAGGGTGGGATGAGAGGCTTGAAAGTAGAGAAATTATTGAAGAACCCAATGTGAGACAGTCTGTCCCCACTTTCCTTTCTGGGCTGAACAAGGTCAGTGTAATCTCACAGGAATCCTGTTTTTATAGGCAAGGTGCTCTGTCTCCCATAATCTTTACACAGGCACTGTGTAAAAGTCCAAAGTCTCATCTGAAACACAAGGCAATCTATCTGTAATGCCTTGTGAAATAAAAAAGCAAATTATATATAATGGCACAGGATATACATTACTATTCCAAAAGGGAGGAAGCGGGTCACAGTGAGGAAATACTGGACCAGTACTGGACAGAAATCCAGCAAGGCAAACACCAAATCCCTCTATGTCTAATACCAAAGGGCTTAGATGGCACTGTCCCTCCTGCTTTCCTGCCTGTAGCATACATGTCTTGGGCAGGTTCAACTGTTGGCAGATACCCTACAAGTCTGGCATTTTTAACGCCTTGTGGTCTCTACCACAACCCAGCATTCACTCTTACACTGTCACTCAGTGGACCTCCCTACTACAAGCTGCCTAGCCTCAGCAGCTTTCGGAGAGACTGTAGAGGAGGAACCCATCACCTTGTCACTCTTGGATCTCTTTTGCGTCTCAAGCCAGTACCACATGATTGACGCTACAAAGTTCAGCTGCCAGCTTGGGATGGTTCCCCCTTGAACCACATTAGTAACAGTTTTTGTTTTCTCTTTCTAGGAGCAGAAAATTCCTTAGGCCTTTTTCTTTTATAAGTTGCAAGCTTAGCTGAGTGGGTTCTTACCCTGAGGGCACCTTCCCTTTGTTTCAGTGCAGATTAGGCTCTCCTCAATGACACTAACAAATGACAAGCTTTTCCAGTACATGTCTTGGTCATAACATACGCTGCTTAGTATGCTTTTTTTCCTGTACATTTTGTATTTTTCTTCCCAACTTGTTCTTCATTATAGATCTATGTAAACATTAATAACCACACCACAGATTAAATATTATACAGTCTTAACATCTCCACCAAAGAAATTAGTCCATTTCTGTTTCCATGTGTAAACATGTATGTACTTATTTTGCCTACATATATGTACCAAATGCATATCTGGTGCCCAAGGAAACTAAAAGAAGATATCAGATCCTTGAAGTGGTGTTACAGATGTTGTGTGTTGCCCTGTGGATACTGGGAATTGAACCTGGGTTCTCTGGAGTAGTCAGTGTTCTTAATCACTGAGCCATTAGCTTCTAGTCCATTACTTTTAAATTTAGCTTTGTTCAATTTTAAAGGACAGTGGCAAAAACAGCCAGATTATTTGCCAAAATATCATTAGAATGCCCTCTAGTCCAGTTGTTAATATTGTTTCCCTCTGAAGCCTTTTTGAGCTGGGCCTCTACAGTCAGCATTGCTCCTAGCACTACTGTCTTCCAAGCTCCAACTCTAATGACCCTTAAAGCTCTGCTTGTAATATTTACATGTTTTTTGAGTCCGAAGTTCCAAGATCTTCCACATTCTTACCCCAAACCAGCAGGCCAGGTTCTTCATAGCAACACCCACCGTCTGATAAGGACTTCTCTGTTAGTTTCTTTTCTGTTGCTATGATAAAGCACCATGACCAAGGCAGCGTATAGAAAGGACTTTATCTGGGCTTGAGGTTCCAGAGCGTTACAGTCCATAATGGCAGTGACAGAACGGTGGCAGGAACAGGAAGAGGAGCACTTTCATCTTGAACTATAAGCATGAAGCTGAGAGCATGAACTGAAAGTGAGTGTGACTATTAAACACTCAAAGCCTGACCCTGGTAATGTACTTTCCCCAACAAGGCCTCACCTAGCCCTCTCCAAACAGCATTACTGTTTAAATGCGCTAGACTATGAGGGACATTTATCATTAAAACATCCTTGACATCAGCACACTGAAGGGCCTCTGCTGGTCTTCTGTGATCTGAGCAGTTGGTAGGCTCCTGGGGGTAGGGGATATGCCTTTTATCTCCCGTGTGTAATACTGGTGGGTCTCCCTCAGCATTTGGTGGAAGTCTTGCCAGAGAAGTCTGCCTCATATCACTTTTTATTTATTCTGAGACAGGGTTTCTCTGTGTAGCTCTGGCTGTCCTGGACTCAGTTTGTAGACCAGGCTGGCCTTGAACTCAGAGGTCCACTTACTCCTGTTGGGTGTCAGTTATCTCTGGACTGATCTGCCAGCCACCCAAGTAATGCCACGGAGACTTTTTATTAATATGAAATCTTGTCCTTAGTTTAGGCTTGTTCCCTGCTAGCTAGTTTAACTTAAATTAACCCATTTATGCCAATCTGCATTCTACCACATAGCTCATTACGGCTCCTAGTACCAGCACCTGTTTCTCCTCTGGATCTGGCTGGTGAATCCCTCCGATTTTCCAGAGTTCCCATCTCTGCCCGAAAGCCCCACCTATCCTCTCCTGCCTGGTATAGACTGTTCAGCTCTTTATTAAACCAATCAGAGAAGGTGATGGAAAAGATGTTTACAATACACTGAGACTGGTGTTGCTTTATTAACAGTTAACAATACCAAAATCCAGCCTGTTTTGTCTCAACTCTCTGCCCCTACAGAAATCAGTATTTGAATAATACAAAAACAATTTTTACACAGTGCACAAGAGATTATCCCAACATCCACCTGCTTTTGGGATTAAAGGCATGGTTTTTTGTTTTCTTTTTTTGTTTTTTACTTTTTGAGACTCATTCAAATGATCTGCCTGCTTTAGCCTCCCAAGCAGCTGGGACTACAGGCTGGTGCCAGCATATCCTAGTCCCATCACCTTTAATTGAGTCCTGTTATTCAGGTCAGATTCACCCAGGAAGTAATATGCATGAAGGCCTCATGGTCTGGTCTGTGGTGAGCAGGTACCTGAGGGACAGTCAGTATGTAGCCATGGGCAGACTAAGGACAATGTGGTAAGGCCATGAAGGCAGACAGAGATTCTTAAGGTTCCTGGAGTTGAGCAATCTGAAAGCCTGGACACTGGGATTTAGTCACTGACTACGTTGAGTCCCAGATAGAGAAAGATTCATTTCTGCCTGAGGAATATGGAAGACATCAGAAGATACATAGGCAACAGTTGTTCAGAAGAACAAGTGGAGTCCTTTGGAAGCTTTGCTCACTACCTCAGTCATTTCTAGAAACGTTTTTTTCTGCATTCTATGCTCTCTGAGTGATAATATACATGAAAATGTAGAGAGGAACAAAAGTGACACCTTTGTTCCTACAGACGTCAATAAGGGTGAGTCAACCTCAGTCTCAGAGAAATTTCCATTTCTGCTGAGGAATAAACAGCTTGGAGTGTGCAAGAAAGGTGGGTTGGGCAATGTTTAGGGTTCTATGTGTCCCTTCCCAGGACCAGGCTCTTGTGGGTGTACTAGCACCCTTAGTCTTGAGTTTGGCAAATGATGGCCGTCTTGAGTTCAAGCAAAACCTCATGGAACCTTATGGGTGCTTGCCTTAGTGTCTAGCGCATCCAGGTATTCACAGATGTGCCTCCTGCAGCACAGGAAGTCCTTGGGAACCTGCGAGATCGATGGTATCAGGCAGACAATCCTCCTGCAGACCTGTTGCTGACTGAGGACGAGTTCCTTTCATTCCTTCACCCTGAGCACAGCCGTGGCATGCTCAAGTTCATGGTTAAGGAGATCGTTCGGGACTTGGGTAAGGCTTGTCCTCACCATTGACACTATTCTAGGCCTGAGGGTGGCCAGTGAGCTTGGAGCATACACTGCTGAAGAGGGTTCCAAGCCCCAGGGTAGGTGGGCCTGTCCTGTTTGGTTTCTGAGGAAGTTCTTGAGTGGTGCTCAGTTTTAGGTAGAGCTCCAGCTAAACAGTACCTCCCTCCAACTGTTTATCTGTAGATCAGGATGGTGACAAGCAGTTGTCTCTGTCTGAGTTCATCTCCCTGCCTGTGGGTACTGTTGAAAACCAGCAAGGACAAGACATTGATGACAACTGGGTGAAAGACAGGAGAAAAGAGTTTGAGGAACTGATTGACTCCAACCATGACGGGATTGTGACCATGGAGGAGCTGGAGGTGAGCAACGGTGCTTATGAATGCTGGTGTGTCCCAGGAGTGGCCCTGGGTTTGGAGGGTGTGGGCAATCCTACAGTAAGATCCCAAAAGAAAGGAACTCACCTACAGGATGACCTGAGACAGTGGGCATTGCCATTAATACCCTCTTGACTGTGAACCATTGGCCTGTAGAAAGCAACTCCTTAGGCTGTGGAAGGCATCTGGGAATTTGTTTGTTTTGGTACTTAGGATGAACCCAGGGCCTTTATCCTAAACAACTGTTCTGTCACAAAGCTACATTCCCAGTCGTTTGTTGAGGGATTCTTAAGGTCCCTTTCGTATGGGACCAGAAGAGAGAGCACATACTAGCCCCACTTCTGAACTGATCTTTGGGCTGGCATGTAGGTGTGGGGACTGTGGGCACAGAGCCACCCTACTGACATGTTGTCAGGTATTGGGTCATTGACTTATGCCTGGATCTCACAGAACTACATGGACCCCATGAACGAATACAATGCCCTCAATGAAGCCAAACAGATGATCGCCATTGCTGATGAGAACCAGAACCATCATTTGGAGCCTGAGGAGATCCTCAAGTACAGCGAGTTCTTCACTGGCAGCAAGCTAATGGACTATGCCCGCAATGTGCATGAGGAGTTCTGAGCATGCCCCTCCACTGGGGCCAGATCGCCAGTATACAGTCTGACCCTTTCCACACCTCAAGGAGGCTGTGGTCCAGTGAGACCTGTGGTTGACTCGGTCTGGATTGGGTCAGAAATTCTATCTACCCTGTGTCTGTGGGCTACCATAGGCCCCTAAAAGTGCTGCCCCAGAACCTTCCTTTTTCTGCTGTGTCCATATGCTCTGGCTCAGCTCCTGCCACAGCATGGCCTAGGCTTATTAAAGATATGCTTAATAGGCTGTGTGTCTTCTCCAGCATGTGTCTGAGGCGGCAGCCTTTCTGTATCAGTCATGAGCTGAGCTGCATTTGCTTGACCAGATCTCTCTCAGTTGCTGTACTCTGCTTCTGAGAACTGCTTCAAGGTGAGGGTGCTGCACATATCAGGACCAGGCGCTCTGGTCCACCATGGGCTTACTGCACTGTGGGAAATCCTGCAACTCTTGCGATTTCCTTGAAAAAGGAAAGATTAAGATAAAATTAGATCATGTTTCTCTGGAAATGATCAACCCCACAGTTCTGGTAAGGGGTGGCAGGCCATTGGGGTAAGATCTTCCTCAGACACCTCAGAACCATGCAGGATCCCTGACTGCCTTGTGAGAAAGTGCAGATGTTTGTTGTCACAGCATCATTACTTTAAAACAGAGTTGCGTTTTTCTCACTTTTTCTTTTTTTTCTTTTTGTATGTTGTTGTTGTTGTTGTTTTCCAGACAGGGTTTCTCTGTGTAGTCCTAGCTGTTCTGGAACTTAGCGGTCTACCTACCTATGCTTCCAAAGTGCTGGGATTAAAGGCATGCATTGCCACTGCCCAGCAACACATTGCCTTTTTTAGGTGGAAAAAAGAAAACATTGTGGCTAGGTAGCTTACATTAGAAGCTTTTGAGGTGGACACTGGTTAAAGGGGTTGTAGCTTTCAATAAATATTGATTCTCCTCATAGAAGTGAAAATAGGACCTGAAGGCAAGACATGGAAGAGAGTGGTGGGATTTCATGCATTGGGAAGCTTATGTGGGATCAAGTTGGGCTTTGAGGTTAAGATCAGCATCAGAGCTTGAGCTGGTCAAGGTCCCAGGATTAGTGTGCCTGAAGGTTTGTTTTGGTGTTCGGGACCACCACCTAGGTTTGTTAGGACAGCTGATTCCTCATCAGTTCTAGGCCTGCTCTAGATACCTACATGACCCAGTTTCTTCCACAGGACCCTACTTCTGTGTGTTGTATTGGGGGTGTGGGATATGAAGCATGGATCCTCATAGTTGTTAGAGTGTGGTGGCACCTGAGCTGGTTCCTAGGCAAAAATGAGACTTCGGAACCCAGAATGATAATGTGGACAGGAAGGTCTTAGCCGGTCCCAGCCTCTGGGTATCCCAGAGTGATAGAACATACTACTCTGAAATATGGACCTCTCAGCAGACTATCACACTTGACCACCATCCCCATCCTGCTCTTGCTCATGCCTTGGCCTGGAGTGTCACGGCTGAGATGGCCTCCAGGACCCTTTCTCCAGATGAAGGTGCAGCGCATCCCTGGAAGCCAGCTAGGTACCTGGCAGGTAGCTATTGCACAGTAGCACCTGCTCTTTCAAAGGTTCTGATGACTTCCAGCCTGGTACTCAAGGGGCAACAGTCTGTGGGAGCTGCTTAGGTGCCTTATTTTGTGGAACTGAAGTGATGAGTGGGGCTCAGAGCTGTTGTCTCCCCTGAAATTTTTAGAGGTCACCAGATCAGTGGATACAGTAAGGCCAGCTACTGCCAGTGATCTTTCTAGTATCATGAAAGCTATTCAGTTCAGTGTGGTCCTGGATGGAAGCAGCTTCCAACAGAAAGGTCCTGCTGTCCTGCTGAGATCCTCTGCAGGGAGCCTCTAGGAACAGGAACAGAGGACACATCCAGGCTTCTCTGTACCTCTGTTGACCTGTGTTCAGAGGCTAAGCTGCTTGGCCAAATGTGACAGCCAAGAATAGCAGAGTTCTGAGGGGAGGAACCATCAGTACCTCCAAGCTGCCTGACCTCAGGAGAGACCATGAGTTGAATGTGAGTTTTACCTTCCTTCCTGCTCACTTGGACTGGAGAATGCTCTACAGGATGCCCTGAGGATTCTCCTCCAGGACCTTCAGTGTACTTCAGAAGCATGGGGAGGCCACGCCCTGTAACCCCTTGGCCCACTCTGGGTTTTCCACCTACTTCCTAGCTCACCCTGACCTTCCAGGCTAGGAGTTTCCATGCGAGGACCGGGGACTTCTGCTTTCACCTGTGATCTTGGGTGGGGGATTTCCAGCTCCAGCCCTGTGCCTCACTCTGCAGCTTGACTATTCCTGTACTCTCTTTTTATTTTTAAAACAGATTATCCATCTATAACCTAGGCTAGCCTGGAATTTGCAGTCATCATGTCGTTGTCTCCTGAAAACTGGGATTACAGGTGTGCACCATTATGCATAACTACAGCATGTAAATTTCCAATCAATTTGGGAATTGATAATTGTGCCATGTCACAGTTTAAATGTGTGATAAGGACACTGAATCCCTGCTAATTCACTTCCTTCTTCAGTACAGTGGTTTCTATGTAAGAAAAGGTAGCCTGTGTTGAGCCCAGTGACACACATCTGTCATGTATTTGGGAGATAGAAACGAGGTCATCAAGATGGTTCACCGGTTAAAAACATTTGCCAGAACCCAAATTTGGTTCTCAGTATTCAGTCAGGCAGCTTACAACTACCCATAACTCCTGCTCCAGGGGAATCACACCTCTGGCCTCCTAGGGCACCTATGCCACATGCGTATATTTTCCCTATCACACACACAGTTAAAAATAAACTAAATGTTTTAAAAAAGAAAAAAGATCGAAGCATAGGCTACAGAATAATTTCAAATGTCATCTTGGGCAATTTAGTGAAACTGTTCAAAATAAAACTTGAAGAGTGCTGTCGATATAGCTCAGTGGTAGAACACTTGTCCAACATGTAAAAGAACTTAGGTTCTTAGTACTACCAAAAATTTTTTAAATTTTTTTTTTTTTTTTTGAAAAAAGAAGGAAAAAAGTCCGTTGACACTGGAGAGCTGGCTTAGTAATTAAGCTTGTACTGTTCTTTTTGGATGTTTTTGTTTTTGAGACAAGGTGTCTGTTATGTAATCCTGGCTGTCCTGAAATTTACTATGTAGATTATTAGGCAGAGCTGCCTACTTGTGTCTCCTACATACTGGGATTAAAGGGGTGTAATGCCCTGGCCAGTGGTAAGAGCATGTATTCTAGAGGACCTAAGCTTAGTTCCTAGCACTCAGCACGGTGGCTCACAGCTGCCTTTAACCCCAGCTCTTCTGACTTCTGTGGGCATTATACTTACCATGCACATACCTGCCCCCTCAAAGAAGAAACAATTAAAAATAAACATTTTTTCTTAAAAAAATTGCTTCTGTGCGCATTTGTGTTTCTGTATGTTTCATATACATATGTTGGGTACCTCCCTTCACGTGCCCCAATGGCCCGAAGCACTTTCCAGCTTGTTATGGCACTTTGCACACGCCCGTGTCATATACACAGTAACACAGGTATAAAACATGTTCACATACCTTCCTGCCTCTCCGCCTACTCTTCTCGCCCCTCCTCCATAGCTCTTATAGCCACATCCTGCAAGGAAAAACCCCAGCCTCCTGTGAAGGCAGAGCCCATACAAGGATGTGTGTGTGGGCTCAGCAGCCCACAGCAGTTCTGCTCCTAGGACTCATACTTGGAGTTACAGCCAGGCTCAACTGTGTTGAAGATACCTACCCTCATGGTCACAAGTGCTGCAATGAGTGCCAGCCAGGTGAGTGGCCTGGCTTTGGGGTGCAGGGGCAGGTTGAGGAGGGGCAGTTCTTAGGGGACAATGATGGAGACACAAGTACAGAGGTATCCTGGAGGTAAATGTCGGAAATCATCGTCACAGATGTGACAATGTCACAGTCACGGGGCCAACCAAGAGGCTAGTCCAGGAAGAGCCAGGATGCTGTGTCTCCACAGTCCTGGGCTGTAGCTGACTTGTTTAACTTTCTGGGCTTCACTACAGGCAATGGTATGGTGAGCCGCTGTGATCACACCAGAGACACTGTATGCCATCCTTGTGAACCTGGCTTCTACAATGAGGCGGTCAATTATGATAGCTGCAAGCAGTGTACACAGTGCAACCAGCGTGAGTTCCTCCTACCCTGACTCTCACTGTGCAGCCCAGCAAGGGAGTAGCTACAACAGTGGGTGCCCATATTTCCCATACGATTGCAAAACTAACTCCAAGCCATGATGAATCCTGTTCACTAAGGGGTCCTTAGTAACTAGGGCATTTCTCAGGGGCACTTATGTCCTCTGGGGTGAAGGCTCAGCCTGGGCCATATGGAACTGGGGTGGAACACATGTTGGCCATGTGGTCTTGCCCAAGCTGTCCTAGTGGGAAAGGGTAGGCCCTGGTGTGGAGGTGGCAGCGTATCTGAGGATTCTGATTCAGATGCTGTGGTCTGGAGATGGGTTGTCGGGAGTATGGAAAAGGGAGCCACAGCCACCCAGTGTCAGCTCAGTAGCTTTCTCCAGGGCTACATGACTAGGAGGAACAGAGTAGCCAGGGAGAGGGTCTTAAGAGAGGAGAGGCCTGAAGCCAGGCTACCATAGTTCTCTCAGCTTCAGCTTTGTTCCTGCGCCATTGTCCATAGGTCAGGGCTATGGGAAGGCCTCAGTCACAGTCTCTATCTGATCTTCCCTAGGAAGCGGGAGTGAACTCAAGCAGAATTGCACACCTACTCAGGATACTGTCTGCCAATGCAAGCCAGGCACCCAACCCCGGCAAGACAGCAGCCACAAGCCTGGAGTTGGTAAGCCTCCAGGTGGCCCCCTATACCAGGAAGGTAAGTGTCTGTCCATGGCCAGTATGAGGTGGTCAGGATCCATGGATGCTGCTCCCCCTGAATCAAGGACCACAATAATGGTATAAATGAGCCAAGCTCTCACTTCAGACACTGTCACTTCCCTAGCATCTCTCTAATCTTGGCTGAGAACCCCTCTTTCAATGGGTCATGCCAAGTCTTGGACTCAGGGTCAACCCTATGGTCAGTGCTAGTGGGAGGCATATGGGAAGGAAGGAGTTTGCAGAGGCCAAGCTTCGTACCCACTTACATTGGGGAGTGATCACTAACCATCCTGTCAGCCCCCACCTCCAACAGCTCAGTATCCAAGGCCTACCTAGTCACATCAAAAAACTGACTTATGTCTTTGCTACAGACTGTGTTCCCTGCCCTTCTGGCCACTTTTCTCCAGGCAACAACCAGGCCTGCAAGCCCTGGACCAAGTGAGTATTGTGGCTGGCCAGGACATTCAAGACTGGTGGTATAGAACTAGAAAGGTTTGAGCATTTAAGAGATGGTGTTTCAATGAGTATGTGATGGACCAGTTCAGGGAGCAGAAATCCAGGACCAGGGGTCTTCTGACATCTGACATCAACACAGCCTTGCTGTACAAGTGGAGCAGGGGTGTGAGATCCTAGCCCAGGCCCCAGGAACATGTTTGCCCTCAAGTTGTGGTTCTTCTCCAGAGAGCTAGAGAAGTATAGGGTACAGGTTGAAAGCACAGAACTCCAGCTAGGAGCAGGACAGGAATGAAAACAGGGTGAAGACAGAAACAGAGATAGGTATGTGCCTTGGTAGGTGCAGGTCTTGGCAGAGTTGAGGATGGTCCAGTGCAACTTCCTCCAGTCTCTAGCTAAGGGACACCCTTATCCCACAGCTGTACCTTATTTGGGAAGCAGACACGGCACCCAGCCAGTACCAGCTTGGACACAGTCTGTGAAGACAAAAGCCTCCTGGCCACACTGCCCTGGGAGACCCAGAGCCCTACATTCAGACCAGCCACTGTCCTGTCCACCACAGTCTGGCCCAGGACTTCTCTGTTGCCCTCTACACCCACCTTGGTGGCTCCTAGGGGTAAGAGACACTGGCCCAGTAGAGGATAGGGGAGAGAAGGCAAGGGTGAATGAGTTCACTCAGTTGGCCTCTCCTTATAGGTCCTGCATTTGCTGTTATCCTAGGCCTAGGCCTGGGTCTGCTGGCTCCCTTTACTGTTCTGCTGGCCTTGTACTTGCTCCGAAGGGCTGGGAGGTTACCTAACACTCCCAAACCATACTGTGAGTACCTACTTTGGGCCCAATTAAAGCTTACTTCCTTGAGGGATGTAAGACCAAACTCTTCACTGCTTTTTCCTTCTTTGCTTTTCCTAGGGGGAAACAGCTTCAGGATCCCTATCCAGGAGGAACAGGCTGACACACACTTTACTATGGCCAAGATCTGAACAGTACCTCAGGAGTGGATTTTATGGGGCATGGACAATCCATATCCTGAAGTCTGCCAGTGCCCTCCACACCGTTCTAGGTGCTGGGCTGGCTCTGTATGCTGTGCATACTGTCTGCCTGCTGGTACTCCCAATAAACATGCTGGCAACTGTGAGTGTGTGATTGGCACTGGGCTAAGGTTGTATCCCCTTCTGGTGGTTGTGGGGGTTTAGACCAAAGTGAAGGTCCACTCAGAAACCATACTTAGTCATATGTACTCCAGTTTGAATAGGGATATGGAGTCCAGGAGGTCTGAAAGGTCAAGGAGATGGTACTTAGGGAGCCAACTGGCTGGAGTCTTGCTCTAAGGTAGTGGTTCTTGGCCTTCTTAATGCTGCAACCCTTTAATACAGTTTCTCATGTTATGGTGACCTCCAACCATAAAATTATTTTCTTTGCCTCTTCATAACTGCAATTTTGCCACTGTTATGAATCATAATACAATTGTTATTGGAGATAGAGATTTGCCAAAGGGTTTGCAGTCCACAGGTTGAGAACCACTGCTCTAAGGGGACCTAAGAGTCTTAGCCAAATGGGAAGGGCCCTGGTCACCAGAGAGGCTCATGAATCGTGGAGCTTCTTTTGACCCCTGTGGCTCAGGCAGCTAACAGAGAGTTATCTGTTCTCTCCAGCTACCTAAATGGGGAGAAGGTGTTTGATGGGCCTTGGGCACTGAAGGTCCTACCTTCCCTGTAGGAGGCAGTCAGCCAGCTGTGCTGGGAAACTGAAGCTGCTACTTGAGCCAAATTTCACACAAACACAGACACAAAAATACACCTGAGGACCCAAGGTCCTCTGCTGCCCTCTACTGAAAAGGGTTCTAGGAGTAGCATCTGGGAATGGTAGTGTTGTTCAGGAAGCACAAGTACCCAGAAGTTCAGTGAATTGAAGACAGTGCCAAGCTGCTTGTGGAAATAGCCAAGTGGTTATGCCTAATCATGTAAGTGAAACCAGAAGCCAAGAGAGCCAATATTGGTGTCATGGGTTGCATGGTAAGAGTCACTAGATGAGCCAGGTGTGGTGGCACACACCTTTAGTCCCAGCACTCAGGGAGGCAGAGGCAGGCAGATCACTGTGAGTTGGAGGCCAGTGTGGTCTACAAAGAAAGTCCAGGACAGCCAAGGTTAAACAGAGAAACCCTATCTCAAAACAACAACAACAAAAGAAGAAGAAGAAGAAGAAGAAAAAAAAAAAAAAAAAGAAAGAAAAGTCACTAGATGGCCAAGTGTGGTCGCACATACCTTTATTCTCAACATTGGGAAGACAGAGGCAGTTGGATCTCTGAGTTCAAGGCCAGCCTGATCCAGCTTGGCCAGGGCTACTAGTTGAGATCCTATCTCAAAACAAACAAACAAAACAAAAACCCCAAAACAAACAAAAAATAAGACAAAAACAACAACAAAACCAAACCAACCCAAACAAACAAAAACAACAACAAAAGAGTCACTAGACATGCTTCAGGGGGTGCCGGGCTGTGTCAGCTGTGCTCTGAGGAGGCATAGGAAATATAAGGAACTGTAAAAATGGCTGTTTCCTGCCACTCGCCACCCTGAGGCCACTGGCCTGACAGTACAGCAGCATCTTTTACTTGGTCTGTTGTAGCCATATATGATGACCATAAGCCATTATTTCTGCATGCTGGGGCATCCTATTACTTCCAACTCAAATCACTGTGACCCACATGGGGTGGCTGGACAAAACTGAGATCCTAGTTCCCCTCCTACCTTTTTCTTCTCTTTCTCTAACAACATTCAGCTGCTTCCAACTAAAGAAAACACCCACCAAACCACTGAATGCCCTTCATTGGGTGCCCATGTGCAACCACACCTTAAGCCTGGGGGTGGACTCACCCCCACCACAGACAAGTCTATGCCTAGAGAGGCCAGCAGGAAGCTGGGGAGGGTTGGAGGAAGATTGCTGTGGGGTTTAGGAGGTTAGAGATTGTGGGAAAGACGTTTTATCCCCTCAATAGGCAGGTCACAGCTATGCCTCCTCTTTGCTGGGCACAGGTCTCCAGTCTTTTGGCTGTATTCTGCTCATTTTTGGGCTGCTGGGCCTCTTCCCAGATTGAATATCCATGACCCTACCTGCACAGAAAATGGGTTTGCTTTCTTTTCATTCTGTTGCTGTCCCAAAGTACATTCTCTATACCCTCTCATCTCAAAAACTCCCTAACTGCCTCTACTGAGGCCCCATGTCAGTTTGGGAATTCCCCACAGGGTCAAACTGCCAGGACCCTGTGCTGCCTGGAATGTACTCACTGAATCCTGTGACACAAACTCCATGGAAACACAAGGAGTTGCTCATAAAGGAGATAGCAGAGCGCAGATAAAAGTCACTCTGCCCACCACCCAGTTTTGTGTTCTTGGGAGTCCCTTGCAGTAGATACCTAGAAGTGGGTGGGACAGGAAGCCTGACATAGGTGCTGACATTTACCAATGTCATCTGCTTGAAAAGATCTCCCAGGTATATGGCTTGTGTCTTTTGATCTTTGTGGTCTGTGTGTGGTTGACACAGGGGCACTGTGTCTCTTGGAAAGAGCCTCTCTCTGTGGGACTCACTAACAGCCTGTACCTACCTTGCAAGTCTATAACCTTGCCCTTGGTTGAGCGAAGACACAACACCAAGGCTAAAAATCCAATGGGACACCCCAAGGTACACTGCATGGCAGTGTTTTGGGGGTAAATCAATTCTTTGTTATCTCTACCCTGTGGAAGAGGCTCTTGCCTAGAGAACAGGGACCCCAGTGTGAGGGTCTCGTGGTTAGCAGGAGATACCATGTGTGTATGCATTTACCACAGTGGGGTGATACTATTACTGCTTAGATTTTTGTTTGTTTGTTTGTTTGTTTGTTTGAGACAGGGTCTCTTTCCATAACCTTGGTTATCCTGGAACTTACTATATAGAGCAGGCTGTCCTCGAACTTAGAGATCCACCTGCCTCTTCCTCCCCAGTGCTGTGGTTAAAGGTGTGCACCACTGTGTCCATCCCAAATATGGAGTGCTTCATGAAAGTTTTTGTCATCCTTACACAGGGGCCCTACTAATCTTTGTAATGTTCCAATTTTTGTATTGTGCTACCAATGTGAGCATTCCCTTAGATTTTTTAAATGGTTAGAAACACAGCCAATACTGCCCTCAACAGTTTTATTGGTGTCAGGGTGTGTGGCTTCCCTTCTGCCCTTCTCAGACTCACCTCTCAAAGAAGAGGTTCTGCTGAGGTTGGCCTAGAGTGGAGTACCCCGAGCCCCCTCTCTACCCTGCAGTGACTAGGGCTGTCTCTCAGGAGGCTTACACACCTGACACCAGAGAGCAAAAGATGTTCCACGGATGCTGGCAACTTCTGACATTTCCTAATTCCTCAACCTCCTCCAGCTTCAGCTTAAAGGGTGTCAGGCCAGGTTGCCTGGGCCTTCCACAGTCACAATGGTCTCCAGGACTCCCATGCCTAGGTACAAGCATAGTTATATCCCGAGATATCCAAGTCCATGCCCACCCCCTGCATTCCCCAAAAGTCATCACCATGTCTCCTTCAGCTGGAAGATGTGGAAAGTAAGGCTGAATAATACAGAAGGGCTTCCTGGTAGACGCAGAGTTCCAATACCTGTCAATGGCCATAGGAAGAAACCGAGGTTCAGAAAGACAGGACGGTCTCACCATCAGAGGCCTAAAGGGACTCCTTTCCTGTTGTCTAGAATTGTGTGAGGAGGTGAACAAAGTGGCTCCAGAGAGAGTCAAAAGATCCAAGCTGGGACTGCCAGGGCTGGATCTGGGCAGGCCATACTACCTTTGGCTTCATGTGCTTGCCTAGGAAGGCCCAGTGCATGAGGGCCTTATCTGAAATGCATGATACATGCTCTGGACTCCCCTCCGTGGCTCTTCTAGTTTCCCAAGCCTAGAGGAGCTCCCTGGGGTAGAAGAGACAAGGGGGAGTTTTGCACAACAATGGAGAGTGCCCACAGGCGGCAGCAACATGTGTAAATGGATATTTTTTCCTCTGCAGTCTAGCCAGGGAGGGCATGCTGGAGTTGGAAAAAGCCTTTTGGGGTTAAGGAGATGTTAAGAAAGATGGTGGCATTGTTTCACACTTTATGGAAGGCCTTTACAAGAACTACAGATGCCTACCGGAAGCTGGGGGTGGAGCTGGCCTGGAGCCCAATCTGAGGGGTGGGGACAGAGGCAGAGGCGGAGACAAGGCATGTTGTAGCAGACTGGGGACTCCTATAATCAGCTACCAGAAAGAAGACTGAAGAGAAGCACTATGGGAGCATGGGCTATGCTGTGTGGAGTCTCACTGATTTGTGTGCTGGACCTAGGTCAGGAGTGTGTGGTTGAGCCTAGCTGTGGCCGTGACAGCTGCCAGCATGGGACTGGCACCAACAAACGCTGCTGCACATCCATTCCGTGTGCTCCAGGTAAGGCAAGGAAGGGAGCAGGAGCCAGAATATGCAGCAGTACCCTTCTCCGCACTCACACAAGGACGGTGAGCACAGCGCACATGTAAGTGGGTAGGCAAACTTTCTGGGTCTATAGCCTTGAGTCTGGAGCTCTGAGAAAGAGGTAGAAGGTCTATCCTAGCTAGTTGTCCAAGATCAACAATGTGGGAGCAGAGGCAACAGGGGCTGGAAACTTCTCCCTCAAGAGGGATCTGGGGTCCATGGTTAAAGAGGACAATCCCAGGGCTGTTGGGTGGGTCAAACCTTAGCCACGAAGCTACTCTCTGTCTGGGTTGGTGTCCCAACACTCTTCTCTGCCCTGTCCACAGAGTTGTGGATGTAGGGCAGTCTGGGGACCCATCAAAGAAAAATATCTCAGCACCTAAACTGCCACACCTCTGGTACAGAAAGGGGCAGCTCTGAGGGCCCATGTTTCTGTGATAGAGATGTGGACAGCAGTGAAGGCAGCTTCTGAGGTGTTCCCAGTGCCTTGAAGGACAACATAGGGTGGGAATGGAGCAGCATTGGCCCAAGAACCTTAGGAACCAGGTGACTCCCACATGTAATGGGACTTACGAAGCCACAATTTCAGAACAGTGGGAGATAGGTATAATAGCAGTCATCCATGTGAGATGAACACTGAGCCGGACAAAGCCTAGGGTCTTACATTGGTGTTAAGAATGGAGGCATAGCACCCTTGCCACCTGACGTACCAGTAGTAGCTCTGGAGGCAGAGGGGCTCTGCCTAGTAGCTAAGGCTCTCATTCTCATTCTTGCCCAGGCATGGAGGTCTGTCCTAAAGAAAAGTGTGTATGTGTTGTGCCGGAGTACCACTGTGAAGACCCTCAGTGCAAGACCTGCAAGCATCACCCCTGCCAACCAGGCCAGAAGGTGCAGTCTCATGGTATGTCTGTGGGAGACTGCTAAAGGTCACAGATGTCCCTAAGCTGACCATGAGTTTCTTCAAGGGCCATATAGATGCTCAGTAAGCATGTATAAGTGTGTAAGAAAGCTTGCACATACAGGGCTCATAGGTATATCTTCTGGGTAGACAAGGACCTGAATCCTAGATTCTAGAAGGGATAGGTGGGCCTAAGTGGTCTCAGTACCTGAGTCCTTCCTGTTAGCCTGGGATTCCCCATCATAATGAAGGTGCTGAAGTCTCTTTAGGGCTTGCTGTGAGAGGCTGTGGGGACTGCCCTCGTGCTTGTCTGCTCTTGACTGTTATTCTGGCTATGGCCATGTCTGACCACCGGTTCTGTCCATCTGCATAGGGACCAATGTATCATGCCAGTTCTGGAATAGGTATACTGCCTATCAAGGCCCTGGTCCTATGGAAATTAGACCTGGCGAATAGATAGTCTGACTCCTAGTCTGACTCCTTCATTAATCTCAGTGGCCCCTACAGTCTATCTGTCTATCTACAGGAACTATTAAGTTTGGTTTCGAGTGTGTTGACTGTGCCAATGGCACCTTCTCCGCGGGTCGTGAGGGCCACTGCAGACCTTGGGCCAAGTAAGTCCTGGATGAGTAGCCTAGGCCTGTTCTGAGGGAGCCTTTCCTATCCCTCCCTTGTAGTTACCCCCAAGAGCTTCCATTCATCTACCAAATGGCTCAGAGAACAGCAGTCCTCGTAGTGTGGCTGCTTGTGTAACCGAGCCTGACAGTGTCTGTGTCTGTGTCCCAGTTGTGCCCAGTTTGGATTTCTCACCATGTTCCCTGGGAACAAGACCCACAATGCTGTGTGCATCCCGGAGCCACTGCCCACTGAGCAATATAGTCATTTGACTGTCATCTTCCTGGCCATGGGAGCGTGCATTCTTTTTGTAACCACAGTTCAGCTTGGCCTGCATGTATGGCAGCTGAGGAGACAGCACATATGTCCCCGAGGTCAGTTGTGTCCCGGGGAAGGGGAAAATGTGCCTCAGGCCACTTGCTGACCATTGTTTCACCACAGAGACCCAGCCAACCCTGGAGGTGCAGTTACCACCAGCTGAGGATGCTTGTAGCTTCCAGTTCCCTGAGGAGGAGCGTGGAGAGCAGATGGAAGAAAAGTGTCGTCTGGGGGACCGGTGGCCATGAGGCCTGTTTCTCCTCTACCCCATGCCAGGCCCTCTAAGACTTGTCCAGACCTACCCTTAGTGAGAGCAAGGGCTATGCTGTGCCTCCTTCCCTGAGCCTGGCCCTGCTCCACTCGACAATGGCAGGAGTAAGATGTTGACAGTGGTGAGTTACAGTTGACTGTGAAAAAGAGGTAACTACAACCACGCCCGATAGCTGCCTTCTTTTGCCAGCTCTGTTGGAGTAGGGATTTTGGGCCCTCCAAGAGCACCGAGGGTTCAGACTTTGTACTGGTGGTCTTCAATAAAGACTTGTCTAGTAACCTGAGGAAAGCAAGGGCTTTCCCAGGGCTGCATTTAAAGACACCGCTTGTCATCCTATGCCTACGGTCATTTCCAAGGTATAAAATGGGGAGGGCTCAATGTGGTGAAAAACCTCACGAACACACACACATGTACACAAATAACTTTTAATGGGAGTGGGCATCTGAGGCCTGTCCTCAGAGCTTCCTCTTGGTGGTAGTGGTAGGGGTACAAGTCAAGGTTAACCTTGGCCACAAAACCTCAGTAGTGACCATCAAGCTAAGGAGGCTTCTAGGAAGTGATAATCTATACTGAGTACGTGCCTTCTTTGCTTCTTTGTGTGTGTGTGTACATACCTTGTAAGTTTCTGTGCATCATGTGTAACTCTCTGGAGCAAGAGCCATAGATGGTTGTGAGCCGCTATGTAAGTGCTGGAAACTGAACCCAGGTCCTCTGGGACAGTAGCCTATGCTCTTAACCGCTGAGCTAGCTTCCTAGTCCTGCTCTTGGCTTCTTGTCCAAATCACTTCCCACCTCTGTCTGGTCCATATTAGGTAGCCGTGTAGTGAGTGGGTAGTTCTTGGGCTACTGCCCTTTTGGATGCCTGTGGTTTTGATGGCACTTTAAGACATTTGCCCTAGCCTAACTGCTTCATACTTAGGCTTTTGCTAGTTTCCATATTGGGCAATTTCTGGCATGAGACAAATTCTCTGAAGTGAATGGTTTTGGCTCTGAGGCACTCTCAGTGAAGCGCCCTTTCTGTTTTGTGGCAGTTGGAGGGGTTGTTCATACGAAGAGCCACGCCATAGTAGTGCACGCCTTTCATCCCAGCATTTGAGAGGCAAAGGCAGGCAGATCTCAGGAGTTTGAGGTCACCTTGGTTTACATAGTGAATTCCAGGACAGCGAGAGCTACATAGTGAGACTATTTCAAAAGAAAAGAGAGAAATCTAATGTCATCTTGGCTTGGATGCCCAGGGAGTGTCAGGCTAGAGGGGAGGGACCTGCATACCTGGCACTTCCTCAGCCCATCTTTCTGCTCAGGGCCTCCTGGCTTATCAGGTGAGGATTGAGGGTTGGATCTGCAACTTATGCTAACAGCCCCATCTACACACAGCTCCTGAGAGAGACTGAAGGACATGGGAAAATTACCATGAAGTGAAGGACTACATTGGGATCAGAACATGAAGAGCTCAGGGCCACAGGAAGTCCCTTGGGAGTGTACCAGCACCTTCGTTGCCTGGAACTGCCTCTTCTGTCCCCTGCTGGGTGGGTGAGGAGTCAGGCACAAGCTACAAAGACTAGAGTCGGCCTGGAAAGGGGGTGGGGTCTGGGGGCATCTCGCAGCTTGCCCATCACACCACACCTCTAGGTTCTGAGCCATAGGCAGTTGTACTGGAGCCACACAGGTGGGGCATCCCCAAGTAGCATGACGTGCAGGTACCCACAGGCTGTATCTGTTGGAAACTACTCCTGTGGGTGGCTGATGGGTGTGGTTTAGAGATGGAGGGAGATTCTGCAGGGTGGGGTGAGGACTGCTGTAGTCTCTGCTCTACCCTTTAAGCCAGCCGCCTCCCCTCTCCCCATTCCAGTCATGGCTACCTCAGGGGCATGAGATGAGCTGTGTCAGCCTGTGAGTTACATCTGGGGATTTCCGCTGAGAACTGTGGTCTGTGCAGGGTCTGTCAGGTCCCAAGGGCTGAGGCTGAGGCTAAGGGCTGTCATCAAGGAGGGACTGCAAGCAGGAAACTGCAAGCAGGTGGGTGTGAAATCCAGAGGTGCTAGAATGTGGGAAAGAGGAGCTCCTGAAAATGTCCTTCTGCAGAGGTCTCCTACCACCCTAGCAGAGCCCACACCAGGCCTGCCTTCTGAAGTAGGGCTGGCATTTGCCCACCTGAAAAGTCTGGCAGCCACAAGAGTTAGGTGTGGCTCTGCCTGGCCTAGACTAGCAGGAGGGAGGCCTCACTGCAATTCCCAGAAACCCCTACCCCTCAGCAGCTGCTCTCCAGTTCTTCTGGAAAACCACATAACACACACACACACACACACACACACACACACACACACACTTTATCAGTCTCAGATAAAGGCCAGATAAAGGCCAGAGGCTATGTCAGTTCCCAGAAATGCTTCCGGCCACAGCTAGTGGCTCCTGCCCCAACCTCCACCCTCTTATCTTGCTGAGAGAGAACCTATCATTTACTCAGTGTGAGACATACCCCAGCTTGACAAAGTAATCTGTATTATGAGAAGTGAAATGCCTTTTTCTTTTTACAGCTGGATAACCCTTCCCTCAACTCTAGGCTCTAGATGGGCAATGACGATCCATGGCTTCTGAGGTATGCTCTCACTGACCATGCAGTATCTCAGCCTGTATGTAGGTCTTCCCTCTACTAGGCTGGGGTCATATCCCAGGGACTGTCCCTTAGGTAGCCTCTAGCCTCTGTGTAAAGAAGCTCATCTTCCCAAGAAAATCCATGAATTGGAATGCTTTTCTGAAGACCAGGCACTGACTGTTCTGTTCCTTCTTAGATGGAAAGGGACTGGAGTGGGTAAGGTATTTAGGATGTCCCACTCTTCTCTGGCTGAAACTAAGATGCCCAGAAAACTACAGACCCAGGCTGAGGGAAGCTTCAGTATGTGTGGGGTAAAGGTCTATACTGGCTGCAGGGACAATAGGAGGTAGAGGGTGCTGGGGTCACAAGCTATGAGCAGCTCAATTCCCCATATCTTCTGATGGTAGAAGAAACTTTTTAACTACCCTGACATCAGGGCCTCAGGATTCCCTCCTCGGAGAGGAGGGAAGGAGTTGAGACAGAAGGGTGGATAAGAACATTAAGCTATCAGGAGCCCTATTCTGGGGTCACCAACCCCAGTGGCAATCAGTTGGTCTGTAGGACCAGACCAGTCTTGATGACATCATCCAGCTTCCCAAACCCTGATACTGTCATATTATTTGATTAGAAAATACCTTGAATCAGCCAGGTGGCTAGATGCTCAGATGACCTTCAGCCCCTCTCCCGCCAAGGCTTTATGTGGTCCTAAGCTCAGGGCTCTGGAGGACTTACATGTGGATTGTAAGGGGCTGAGGAAGATCTAGAGGTGGGTAGATGGGGCCATCACTCCTGTGGGCTGAGTGACCATCAGGAGGTCTCTGAAACATTTATTCACTGCCATGCTCTGCAGCCTCCAGGAAGGAAAGGGAGCAGACAACCCAAGCCCTTTGGGAGCCTGTGGTTGGCAGAAGCTCTGCTTGGATAGCACAGGCTACAGCCAGCATTTATCACATCAGGGTCCTAGGAGAGGTTCCATGTCCCCAGCAGTGGAAGCAGTTTCCTCATGAGAACTTTATCACCTCTGCTGCCATCTTGAGATGACTCCCTGCAGGGGTGAGGGCAGGGCTGCAGGTCTATGTGGCAGCTGAGAGCAGAAATATTTATGACACTGGTGATGCCATCAAGGGACACAGCTCTGACTTGATCGGGGAGGGAACTGTGAGGAAGGGGAGAGGTTATGGGAAACAAATTGGAGGTGGCGCAAGTTGATAATGTCAACAGATGGTCCCAAGGGATGTGGCTATTTAGCCAGCAGAAATGTGGCTGTGACTCCAATAATAGGTGTGGATTCACCAAGACCTAGGTACTTAGGGCCTGTGGAGACTGGTCTTCATTTTCCTAGCTTTAGCAAGCTTCAAATATCCAGAGACCCACGGGCCAGGAGCAGGCTCTTTCCAAGAGGAACCACAGACATAGGAGACACCTGACTTGGTCACATAAGGACAAGAATGTGCTTACCCTGCACCTTGTACTTTATGTTCTGGGCCACAGCAGGAAGACGGAAGGCTAGAACATCAGGGGCTGAATAGGGAGTCTGAATGGAGAAGGGTCGTGGAGGGGTGGAGAGCTGTGGGCGATCGTGAGCTAAAGCAGGGTCTCCATGATCGGTCCTCTGGGATCTGAGCACCTTGGGTTACCTCTTTGAGTCTTGTTAAAGGGTTCCTGCACAGAACGGTCCTGTATGCTGGTCAGCGGAACAGTGGTAGACAGAGCCCTCTAGCGGTGGGCCAGCCATTGCATCCTAGAAACCATGCCACAGTTGGAGGCTGTTGTGCCAGGAAGGTTTTCTTAGCGGCTGAGGGGACTAGTCTGACACTCCTTCCACATGTGGTAGAGCTAGGCTTGATGTTTAGTACCAACAAAAGGTAAGAAGGGAGGGTGACGAAGAGGACTCTGCCACCTTGGATATGCAAGATTCAAGTTGGGCAGTCTGGAAGTCTGTGGGAGGTTGTATTTGGAGTTTTATAAGGGTGGGATCGAGAGGGTCCTGGCCACTTTGTTGTAAGATGTGGACACCTCAGAGGTTTAAGGTGGTCCGTGTTCTTTCAAACCCCAGTGCTAACTGGGAGCATGAGCATTAGGGAGAGCAACCACCATCAATGCCAGCTTAGCATCATCCTTCCTGGGAACTGCCCTGTCATGGCCAACTTCTCCGTGCATGCCTCGTATCCCTGATAAATTCCAGGGCAGTTTGTAGGGAAGTAGGGGCTATAGGCTACAGACCCTCCACAAAGTATCTGAAAGGTCAGAAGAAAGCTGTTGGGCAGGATGATGAACCCCAGTTCTGCATCAGAACAGTAATGGGACAGGGTTGGTCTTCCAGAGTTCCAGAGTTCCCAAGGCCTTTCTTGGGAACTCCACTAAACAGTAGGTGGGCCCCACTGCCAGGCCCATGGAGGCCATGGAGTTTCAGGAGGATCCTACAGGATGAATACCAGAGGCCAGAAGTGGGGGACCCAGGATTTGGTGGGCTGCCCCAGAGAAGGAAAAAGGGGCCAGTGGAGATTTCCCCTTCCTGAAGGACTCACTCCCATTCTGCATGCAGTTCCCTCTTCTTCCCCTAAGGACAACCAAGGAGCAAGGAGAGGAAAAGGGACAGAAAGGCTTAGGGCGCCCGTGTGGGACCGGCTTCTGGAGGCCGCATTTGTCACAAAGTAGCTTTTATAGGTCCCGAAGAGGGCACGGGCCGTGGATACTTGCGGCGGCTAGGAGCCCCGATGGCTCGTGCTCCTCTGTTCCTCCTCGCGCTCTTCATCGGGCGGCCCCAGGGAGGGTTCCCCGGCTGCGTTCCTGCTGCCTTCCGTGGGCCTAGAACATAGAGAGGGCTCGGACTCTGCTACAGAACCACCGCCTGAGTCAGGCTGCCGCGATTTGCGGGAGGTGCATGTGAGAGCGCCTCTGGAAGGCATCGACTTGTGTGCTCCAGGCCGGTCTGCGTTGGCACGTGCTGTGGACAGCACAGAGGGTGCGACCTCACAGGAGGGCCGGGGAGGCAGTGGAGGCAGGCAGGCAAGGGGGCGTGAGCTCCCCAAGCGTGGCCACAAGTCTGTAGTCTCGCCATTGTAAAGGAGCACAAAGCGACGCTGTGACAGCAGAGGCAGCATCTTCTGACTATGCAAGCTCTTTTGGCAGGTCTCAAGAGCCAGGTCTGTGGGGAGGCAGGAGAATGAGAAGGTGAGAGGCCAATTTGGAGCGGGAGGGCCTCAGGGGCCAGGGGAGGGAGGAGGGGGATCAGCATGTCTGGAAACAAGGGAGGAGGAGAGGGATCTGTAAGGGATTGGATGTAGGCGGGTAAGGTGACAGAAAACTTAGAACAGAGAGCTTGGCTGACATGCAGATTGTGGAGTGTTGGAAAGCCTGGCTTGTGGAGTCTGAACTTGGGGGCAAGTAGGATGGGGTCCCCAGAAACGAAAAAGGAGAAATGGAAACGTTGTGATATGGGACTGCCCAGAGCTCACCCAAGGTTTCCATAACCACTCCAGGGATCACCTCCTTCAGGACTTCACAGTTGGTATGTAGGGCAGGGTTGGAGTTCATCTCCAGCAGCCACACCTGAGGCAGACAATAGTCAGCATCTCTCTCTACCCACCTATAGCCAGTTGGCCAGTCAGAAACTAGACTCTGATCCCTATTAAGCCATGTGATTCTGGGCAGATTGTATCTTTCCATGGTTTTGTTCCCCCTGTTTGCTCAAGGTGAAGACTGATCTTGAGAGCTGTTCAGTTCCAATAGGAGATGAGCTTTATGGACAAATCCAAACCTATGGCTGAGTCCACTCATTGGGTCTGCTTATGTGGTCAACATACAAATGGGCCCTCCCTCCTGCACCTGCCTACCAGACCTCATCTTCCCAAGACAGCACCTTGAAGTTCTCATCAATCAGGAAATCACAGCCAATGAGGTCAAAGTAACCCAGCTTGCACTCCAGCTTGGACTTGACAGCCAGGAAGCAGTGGGCCATGATCTGCTGCATCCGCTTCTGTGGGTGAAGCAGGGAGGGATCCTGGATGTCACCTGTTGGCCGTGATGAAATCTCCTAGGCTTGAACAACCACTCACACCTCATCTGCAGTTTTAACTGCCCACGCTTCCACACGCTCAGTCACAGTCAGAAGTCCATTCAGCAAAACCATGGAGCTTCTACTGTGACACAGGCACTAAGAGATACAGAAATGAAGACAATTAGAACTCACAGCAGGAGACACAGAAAACTAGAACATAGAAAATGCTGGTAAGAACAGAGAGCATGGTGGCTCATGCCTGTAATCCCAGCAGTAAGGGAGGCAGAAGCAGGTGGATCTCTGTGAGTTTGAGGCCAGCCTGGTCTACAAAGTGAGTCCAGGACAGCCAAAGCTACAGAAAGACCCAGTCTCAAAAAATAACAATAAAAAAAGCATTTCAAGTTGCCCAGTTAGTTTCATTCCATATTTTTCACCTCAGTAAAAATCTTGAAAAATATATCTCAGTATCAGAAATAGCAGAACACGACTAATTTACAAATAATTGTATTAGTTTTCATAAGTTTGGAAGTTTGTTGAAATGCTCCTTTAGAAAACACCAACGGAAAGCTGAGGATGATATCTCAATCAAACAGAAAATATCAATGAAGAGATACAAATTACAGAGGCCATTAAGAGGGCGGGCCATTGGTGGGGCTGGAGAGATGGCTCAGAGGTTAGGAGGATTGACTGCTCTTCCAAAGGTCCCAAGTTCAACTCCCAGCAACCACATGGTGGCTCACAACCATCTGTAATGAGATCTGGTGTCCTCTTGTGTCATGCAGGTGTACATGTAAGCAGAACTCTGTATAAATAATAAATAAATAAATTTAAAAAAATAAAAAAAAAGAGGGCCATTGGTTAAAGTACCTGATGCTAAGCCTAACCCTGGGACCTACATAATAGAAAAAGAAATGGCTCCCATATGTTGTTCTCTGACCTCTGCAAATATGCATGGCATGTGCTCATGGCACATGCACCCTCTAATAAAAATTTTTTAAAAATTTATACAGTATTCTGCCTGCATTGTGCCTGCATGCCAGAAGAGGGCACCAGATCTCATTATAAATGGTTGTGAGCCACTATGTGGTTGCTGGGAATTGAACTCAGGACCTTTGGAAGTACAGCCAGTGCTCTTAACCTCTGAGCCATCTCTCCAGCCCCCTCTAATAAAAATTTTAAAATGTGATTAAAAATTTAAAACAATACAAAGTATAAAAGGAAATTGACTAGAATTTCTGGAGTAGAAAAATACAGTGATTACAATTCTTAAAGAAAAAGAAAAGAAAAAGCACAGATCTTGGAGCTTAAGAGATGGCTCTGTGGTTAAGAGTGAGTGCTTCTCCAGAGGAGATTTGAATTTATGCTTAGAGAGAGAAAGTGCTCTTAACCACTGTCTCCTCAGCTCCCCAAGAACATTTTTAAGATACAGTACATCCCGGGATGAAGAGTTTTCATTCATCGTTACTTTTTGTGTTTAGTAGGCTGGAACCTAAGAGACTTATGCATGCTACTGAGCATCACCCTAGCCTCTGCACTTGTTTATTCTGAGTGGATCTTACATAGACCAGGCTATCTCTGAATTCTTTGTTAAGATGACCTTGAGGTTTTTTGTTTGGTTGGGGTTTTTTTTTTTTGTTTGTTTTTTGTTTTTTGTTTTTCAAGAGAATGTTTCTCTGTGTAGCCTTGGCTGTCCTGGACTCTCTTTGTAGACAGGCTGGCCTCTGCTTCCCAGAGCACTAGGATTACAGGCGTGTGTCACTGTGCCCAGCTTGACCTTGAGTTCTTAATGCTCTGCCTCCCAAATGGTAGGATTATAGGCTTTGTGCTACCCCACCTGGCTCCTGGCTTTCTCTTTCCTCCTCTTGTTGCTCTTGTTCTCTCTCCCCCACTCCCCATAGCGTCTGGTGGGCCTCACCATGTAACTTCTTTTGTTTTTTAAGATAGGGTTTCTTTTTGTTTGGTTGGGTTTTTTTCTGTTTGTTTGTTGTTGTTGTTGTTGTTTGCTTGTTTTCTAAGATCTGGCTGGCTTGGAACTCATTCTATAGACCAGGCTGGTCTCAAACTCACAGAGATCTGCCTGCTTCTGCCTCCTGAGCACTGGGATTAAAGGTATATGCCACCAATACCCAGTTCCCCATGTGATTTTTATTGGCCTGGAACTATATAGACAAGACTGGCTTCAAACTCAGAGATCCACCTGCCTCTGCCTCCCCGAGTGCTGGGATTAGAGGTGTGCATAACCTTGCCCAGCTAAGAATAGAAAGTCTTAACAGGCACCAATCAAATGAGATTAAGGAGAGTAGTAAGACAGTGTTAGTGACAAACCTTCCCACAAAGGGAAGTCCAGGCTGCTTCACAGGGTGTGTCAGTTTTTGTTTTTCTCACTGTAACAAACAGCTGAGAGAATTACTTTCATAGAGGAAAGATTTTTGCTTTATAGTTTCAGAGGTTTCCATCTAAAGTCTCTCAAATTGGAGCAGGGCAGACCATCATAGGAGTGAGATGATGTGGCCTGCTCATCTCATGTATCAACTTGATCAAACCTCTTCAGATAAGTGTCAAGTCTCTCAAATTGTGAACCAGAATAAACCTTTTCTACAAATAAGTTGATTACTTTAGATATATTATATAGTAAAAGGGAAATAATACATTTTGGTATCAAAATCAGATAAAATACTAAAGAAAGGCCATAGGCCAGTATTACTTATGAGTATAGACACAAAAATACTTAAATATAATAAAATAAAACTCAGAAGTATATTTGAATTATACTGCCACCACTTAGGATTTATCCCATGAATGTAAGAGTAGTGAAAGCTAATCAATGCAAAACACATGCATAGAATAAAGGAAAAAAGAACATGCAGTCATCTTAATTGGTACAGGAATAGCGTTTTATATTATTCAGCATCCCACCCTTAAAAATTCTTAACACACTAGGGAGAGAAGAGAATTTGTGAGCCTTTCTTTTTTTATCAGAAGAAATACTACTTTTGCCTTTTCAACTTGATATTAAAAAATTACACCTGGAAGCAATTAGTCATGGCTTCAGTACAACTACATGCTTTCATGAATCATGAAAGCCATGTGCCTAGCCCATGTGGGCAATATACACACAGAACCCAACTCAAAGCCAGACTGACCGTGAAGGTGGTGAAGACCCAATCTCTGGGGAGGCCCTTGGTCTTCCTAAACTTGTCATTGATGTATCGGTTGAGGTGCTCCATGCTCCACACAGTGCCTTCTTTCAGCAACATGTACAGGGGACTCTTCTTCTGCATGAACTACAGCAAAAGCAGAATCTACAGGTCACCTCTGAAGGGACCTATGAAGGCTTTACCCTAACCTCTGACACCTCTGACCCTCAGAGGTTACCATCTCCCATGAGAACTGCTATGAGACCCTTGTGCATTAGGCCTTGAGATGTTCCAGTCAACAAATTCCCACAGATACTGAACAAGGAATCCCTTGTTCCAGACACTCCCTTGGGCATTTGATCAACACACCAATAGCAGCTGAGTCAAGGATTTAGGCTCTAAGGTACTTCTTTCTGTAGGACACCCGAGTCTCTAGGGCAAAAGGAAGTAGCTGCTACTTCAAAGCCTGGGCAGACAAGTCTATAACTAGACCTTTTCTCTGTGTTCCCACACAATGAGGTATGAAAAGAGTGTCTATAAGGGGTTTCTTACCTGGTTGGTCAAGTGACCACTGAGGTCACTGGAATGAGGATCATACAGGCTGAGGGTGAGACGGGCATAGCCATGGCCAAAAAAGACCATGTAGGGCATGGCACAGGCGATGAGCAGGTAGGAGCGCACGTCAAACTTCTTTCCATCTAGCAGCAGTGGGTTCTGGACATATCTAGGGGGTACCACAGGGTACCTGATGCTGAGTGGCTTAGCCAGTTGGCCTAGATCTGTCATCCCACAAAGACCATTTCCTCATTGCCTCCCACCTATCTCAGGCATTTCCACTGCCTGAACATTGTCAACCATTAGAGGCCTCTGAACTGGTCAGAGGAATTAGGAAGAGGGTCTCATAACCAAATCTTTATCCATTTTCAAGTGTCTGGGCCACCTTAAGGTGCAGCTCTTACTAGGAAGCTTATGGGAGCAGATTGGGCCCCTGTGGTAGGGAGGATTGTCTGGAGGAGAAAGGTTGACATTGGACTGTGAATGATGAATGGCTTTCATCTCGGGAAAGGGCATTCCAAGTAGGACAGTTCAGGTCTTCAAGATTTAAGGTAGGGAGAGCATGACTGGGAAGGCCACATGGAAGAGGACAGGGGCAGCAGACAGCAGCTGTGGCCAGAGAAAAGGTCCTTATTGGCAGAGAGTAAGGCTCTCCTGGGATCTTTCTAAGGATGAGCTGAATTTTTCCTCCTAGACCCAGGTGAAACTGAGGTTCTGGACCTCACTGTAGGCAGATGAGCCATTGGTCAGCTCTGTGTTGCAGATAGGCTTTAACTGGCTGGCTGATCTGGAGAGTACAGGACAGCTGCAGGCAGAGGACAAAGGGACCAAGCCCTCCTTGAATACCCCTCCCTAGAGCCTGTGCTTATGAGCACTCTTGTCTGCTACTCTAGCAAAGCATGACACCTCCCCTGCACAGGCTATGGGGCTAGATATAAGCTGCTCGAGGCAGGTTAGTTGGGTGTTGGCGGTGCTGAAGCCTGCTATGGCCAAGGGCTTCTCTGCAGCACTGCTGACTATCTCCAATGTTCACAGCCACCAGCCAGTCTGTTTTGTCCCTGCTGAGACCCAGGCCCTTCCTGGCATCCATGCCCACACCTCTGCACCACCCGCGCCTGAGGTGCACGGAAGGGCATCTTGCGGTAGATGGGGTCGTCCTCAATGCTCTGGGTCTTGGCCTGCAGGGCAGCAACCTCCTCCTGGTTCCTGATCAGAAAGATGCCCTTTCCCTGGTTGGAGGCCGTGGGCTTGCAGATCCATATCTGGGTTTCTGCAGGGAGTGACCCCTAAGCCTCTGGCCCTGAGTCCTCCTTGCCCTTCCCACCCCTCACCCCGCCCTGGTCCTAACCATACCCCACCCTTGACCTTCCCTTTCACTAACCTTTCCCGAAAAACCTAAGCCTACATTTCCCCTCAGCCCTGACCACTCCAACCAGCCCTAGCTGGTTCCAACCCTGATCCTACCCTGATTTCACTGCCTTGCTCCAGGTTAGAGGGCTATTCCTTTGTCTCACCTTGATCATACCCATGATCCAGCTATGGTCCTGGCTCTGCCCATTACCTCTAACTAAGGCCACCACCTTCCTTTCTCCCATCCCTCAACATCAGAAACCACCAGGCCCCAAGCCCTGGCTTCACTTTTTCTCTTAAGAACTATTCCACCATTTCCAGGTCTGGCCCTGCCCCACCCTGCTAGAGTCTAGACTTGATCTTGTCTACCCTTCTAGTGTGCCTGGTCCTACTCAGGGGCCTCTCACCATCAAATAGAGTGAAGAATGTCTGTCTCTCATCCCTGATGTCCAGTCGATAAGTCTCTGGAAAAAACTCTTCCATTTTCAGGACCCTTGGGAGAGCAAGGAGGTAAAGACATGGGGAGTTCTCTGCCTCAGACTTGACCAGCAATCTGGTAGTCTGACCTAGCTGAAAGGGGCATTTACTGTTTTAAGGCCTCAGCCTTCTCGGCTATTTCCTTTGCTCACACTGTGCCCTTATAAAACATTCTTTTATCATCTCATACTTTCAGCTTCACTGCAGCAGCCAGCCTTCTGGCTGCCAGACCCACTGTGGTTTCTTTGTCTCATCTCCTTGCTTTCTCTCTTCCAATTGCTCTCTTCTATGTGGATTGGTTTCCAGTGCCAAGACAGTACCTAGCATAGAACCATAGTCAGTACCTAGCATAGAACCATAGTCAGTATATATCTGAGCTTCCAAACTGCCTTTCACCGATCACCAGGTCATAGTTCCGCTCTCTCCCCACTGTCTACCTCTGTGCTCAAGGCATCGGGGGCTGGTCTATGTAAGTTCCTCAAGGGCTGTTATATCCTTTCCAAATATACATCCCAAAGGGATATAAACCCTGTGTGAGTAGCTATCTCCAGCATGTTTGGAGGTGTGGGTCGGTTATGCAGAGTGGGAGTACAGATGGGCAATGGAGGGAGGTGGATGGATGCCTTAGGAGAATGGCTCTGAGTTGCCGATAGAAGTAGGCAGTGGACAGCTGGACACACAGCTGTCAAAAGAGTGTCATGGATGGCTATGATCTAAATGCTGCCTTGAGGGGCAGATGGTGAGCAGTTGGTTGGGTCAGTAGATAGATCTCTAAATAAATGTTTGGGTGAGAGAATGGCTGGGCAAGTAATCAGTGAACCAGGAGTAGTCCAGCTTGGCTGTGTGGTGGGGGTAAAGGAAATCGGATGGACATGGCTGGATGGATAAGGACTAGTAGGAGTGAAGTGTTGGCAGAGTGGATGGGAGCAATGGATGGCCGTTGCTGGGGGCCGTCTATTGTGGGCACAGAGTAAACATCTAGGGAATGGTGGGTATGCCCTGGAGTGGAGGCAGACGGGTAGGTAGCTCGGTGGGGAGACAAATGGAACATGTGAAGGGGAGTGGTTAGGTCTGGTAAACGGCTGACCTCTTGGGTAGGATGGTGAATGCTGAGGAGCTGCGGATGAAGTGGTGAGTTTATGGAATGGGGAAAATGGTTCTAGAAGACAGATCGAGGCAGAAGTGGGTGTGCCTCTGGGACTGGGCAGGGTGGGCTCACTTGGCTTGGGTACTGGGCAGCAGCCTGGCTTTGCTCAAAGTGCGTGCATGTTCCCTCAGAGCACTGAGCAACCCGATCTTGGTAGTAAGCAGCTTGTTGTTAGGCAGCTGGAACAGCAACTGCTGGCCTGGCAAGACAAAAAGGGTTACGTGGGTGGTGCCTTGAGGCTGTGCCACCACCCCTCGCTTCAGGGAATCTGCCCTACCTTCTCGGAAGCTGCAGTAGTTGTCCCTGCACTTGATCTCGCACCACTTTAGCTTGTAGTCCTCACAGCGGCTGTCCTGAGTGCGTTGCCAGCCCTTGCTCTCACAGTAGTGGCTGATTCTGTGGAGTAGAAGGCAATAGTAACACTGAGGGACTTGGGATGCCCTGAGGAAGGCAGGGCAGGAGTGGCTGCTTATAGCAGCACCTTGGGCTAGAACCAGGATGGGGTGGGAATGCAGACCAGGCTGCCCAGACCCCACTCACATTGATGCTCCATTAGTGCCTCCGATGTAGAAGAAAGGACCTTGACCAGGAGCAGGTTGCTTGTCCCCTTCCATCAGGGCCCCCTCCAGCGAGGTCACTGGGAGTCCGACAGCTTCTTCCTCCAGGAGGTCTGTGGGCAGTTAGGTGGTCAGAGGCCCAGGCTTCTGGCTCACTAGGGTTTTTTTCTGCCCCTCCCAGCTGCCAGCAGCCCCACCTGCATCTTGGTCCAGCTGACTCAGCTCAGGCCGGAGCCCCTCCTCGACACTGCTCCCCATCCGTTTTTCATGGGACCAGCCTGGAGACCAGTGGTGTCAGGGGGGGAATAGGGAGGTACCCATCCTATCTGCCTGAGCCCAGCCAATGCCAGCAGCTGCTGGGAACTAATTCAGCCACTCTGGACCTCTCTTTACCCAACATGGACCTGACCAGGAGGTCTGAGGGTCATTACACCCAAGAAAGGAGGCAGTTACCACCAGCTTTAAGTCAGGCAGAGTCCAGGTCGTGTGGAGACTACAGTAGGGATGAAGAGGGTAACCCTACCTCTGCCCTCCTTACCAGCAGGAAAAGCTCCATGCAGGGAGTGGGCTGGAGTGTGAGACAGGAGCCCATACAAACATGATGTGGGGATGTCTCCAGAGGGCAGGGGTCACAATGTCTATGATGACATCATGGGTGACCCAAGAGTCTATAGGCAGCCAGGAGAGATGAGAGGTTGCACTAAGTAGGGTTGGGGTAGGGAGTCCACTGCTGTGGCATGGACAGGCAGGACCTGCATCTTCTCAAGCACAGTGTCCCTTGAATGTAGGCTTCTGCTAGTTTCTCTCAGGGCCTGGCTGGCTGGGCATGGCCTAGTGTGAGCCTAGTCCCTTCCCATGAGATGCTATCCCTGAAGGCCCTGACTTGAGGGTATGCGAAACCAGTTCCAGGGCCCCTTTGCATTCACCTGGTACCCGAGTGTGGCATCGACGGATCCTGGACCGTTTGGGTCTTTTGGAGCCAACATGGGTTCGAGGGGGCGTACCTCGGCAGTGGATAAATCTTGTACGGCCACGTGTTGCAGGCACAAGAGCACCAGGGCGAGGAACCTTTGAGGCAGATGTAGTCCCTACACCCCTTCGGGGTCTTCGAGCAGCCCGAGAGCCCGGCTCTTGGATGGGGCAGACACCTGGTCCCACCCTGCCTGGGGAAGGGTGCCTCCCTGTGTCCTGGGCTGCGGCTTCAGCTTGTGGCTCACTTCCAACTTTGTGATGGCCATGAGGCCTTCCAGCCTGTAGGTGAAAGGCAATCTTTGCATCCTGTCTCTGCTGGGTGAGCCTTCTTTGGCCAAGACCGTCCTGGCCTCGACGAGTGTGGCCTCTGTGTCTGCTGCAAAGAGGGTGCCCATCAGGCTTACTGTTGGTAGGATGCCTACCTTGCAAGCTGGAAGGGCAAAGAGGATCCTGACCCCAACAAAGGTCTTACCAGTTTATGGCTACCCAGGTACTCAGCCCAGATCCTACTAACACAAGCTGTCTATAGCTACCACCACTGTTCTTCCCCCAGCACTCCTGTCTTAGACGCTGTCCTTTTTCTCTGTTTGCCATCTTTGGAAAATCTTAGGGCATTTTAAATTAATTCCTAGACAAATCTTTGTGTCTCACATAAAAGAAATAAGCCCAGTTTGTTGGTGCACAGAGACCTTAAAAGGGAAGGACAAGTTGAGGCCTCTGGACAGGAGCAAGTCAGCTTTAAAGAGGAAAACAGTTCTATGGATAGATTGACTGACAGCAAAGAAAGAACAAGTACAGTAAGCCATTCAGGCACTATGTATATCTACCAGTTCCACCCCCACTGATTTGACAGGAGAGGGAAAAAATTCAAAAAGTTCTGGAGGATGGAAAGAATGTCTGTAATGAGAAACTCATACTTCTGTAGAGGGTAAGCTGCCCTGGAGATCCCTTCCCATTGAGGAAAGAAAGGATCCCAGGAAGAGGCTGAGGGAGCAGCTTTAAAATTGGGCAGGGGTGGGCTGGAGAGATGGCTTAGAGGTTGGGAGCACTGGCTCTTCCAAAGGTCCTGAGTTCAGTTCCCAGCACCCACATGGTGGCTCATAACCATCTGGTGCAATCTTCTGGTTTGTGGCCATCCATGCAGGCAGAATGCTGTATAAATAATAAAGAAATAAATCTTTTTTAAAAATTGGGCAGGGGTGTAGGTGTGGGTGACTCTGCAATCACTAGGAGGTCCCCATGCACTGGGTTTCCAGAACCCAGCAGCAGGTCAGAGGGACTTGTTATGGAAATGGGGCCTGAAAGGGACTGGTATTGTCCACAGCCTGAGGCTTCAGGGCCCTCAGGGATATCTTAGAAGACCTCCTAGAACAAGAGGAAGTATAGGCACACAGAGGAAGAGCAGAGTGGAATAGAGATGATGTAGAAACTGAAGGAACTGAACTACTAGACAGATGGCTCAGCACTTAAAGTACCGGCTGTTCTTCCAGGTGGACCCGGGTTCAATTCCCAGCATTCACCACTGTAACTCCAGTTCCAAGGGATCGAAATTGAAGGAACCTAGCTCACTTCTAGAATGTGTTTGGCTGTGAGAGAGATACCGTATCCTGAAAGGGCACTGGGTTCTATTAGAATAGGAAAGAGCCTTGGGAATTAATCATGTAATACAAAGGTCAGAATTAAGCGGGTGCAGTGCCTTATGCTGTAATCCCAGCATTTGAGAAGGCAGAGTCAGGAGGATCTCTGTGAGTTCGAGGCCAGCCTGTTCTACAAAGTGAGTTGAGGACCACCAAGGCTACAAAGAAAAACTCTGTCTCGAAAAAACAAACAAACAAACAAACAAACAAACAAAAACAACCAACCAAACAGAAACAAAGGTCAGAATTAAGTCCAGGAAATTGTTCAGAAAGCACTGAGAACAGGGCCGAATGGATCAAATCGAACACAAATCCACAGAGACCCAACAGTATAGCTTAGTGAGAGATGAGGAAAGAAAAGAAGTTGGATATACGATTGGGAATGGGGGTGGAGGGTTTCCTTGTGGTCAGCCAGAGCCCTCTACTCTTTGAGGAGGGCACATATTAGGGCGCCAACTCTGGGAACCTGGGGAAGTGAGAAAAGAGTGGTCAGAGAAAGACGCTAGGAAAAAAAGATGGATCTACTGTTACCTAATTTGTCCCTACTTCAGTTTTATTACCTGCAAAATGGACTTGGAATAAGAGCCTGAAAGGATGCTATGCAGATAGTTTCTGCCCAGAACATGTTAGGATGGGGCAGGTTGCCCGGGAAGTACACAGCAGAGTATGAGGACAGCCACACAGCCCCAGGAGGATCAAAGCTTGGGAACAACTAAGCAAAAACAAGTGAATATATGAGGCCATGAGTATCTTAAAGAAAACCTTGCTGTATAGCAGCTCACTTGGACTCTGGGTACTGTATGCACAGGGACAGCACAAATAAAATAAGAAATCAAGTTCCAGTAATATCTGCAAGCAACAGCAATGTCAGGGGCTGTTTGGAAATAACTGGTTAAACCAGGTGTGGTTGCTCACACCTTTAATCTCAGCACCTGGGAAGCAGAGGCAGGCAGATCTTTGGATCTTTTTGAGTTTGAGGTCAGCCTAATCTACAAAGCAAGTTCCAGGTCAGGGCTGTTAACACAGAAAAAACCTGCCTCCAAGCAGACAAATAACCCCTCCCTCCAAAACCCCTATTTGAAATCTCAAAAACAACAGATTTATCTACTCCCTTCATGGATAACCTCCCAACTCTACTTTCTCTTGAATAAACCATATATATTCTCCTGACTTTTCTAACTTCATATTCTTATTTTTACAATGAAATCAGCTATGAATTATAATTCCTTGTCATTCATATTTACTAAAACTAAGCTAGGAGTGGTGACAGAAAACAGCATTGCCAGAAGCTTGCAGCTAGCATAGGCTACATAGTGAGACACTGTTTCTGGAAAACAAAAAATATCAAGGGCTCAATTGACAGAGTGCTGCATAACATGCATAAACCTAGATCTGACTCCCAGTAACATGAAACAGGAATGATAATATACACTCATAATCTCACTACTTAGGGAACATCAGAAGTTCGAGGTAACCTTTGACTACATAAGTTGGAAACTAGCTTGAGCTAGAAGGAACCCTCTCTCAAAAATTAAAAAACAAATAAAGCCCCCACAAAATAACAAAAACTTCATAGAAAACCTAGTGGGTAAGTAGGAATATATCTACCTAAGAGAAGAAGGCCTGTGATACAGCATCCAAACTGGGAAGCTGCCAGCTGCTGCACTTATCTAGTGAACATGTTTCAGGGTCTCTCTGAAGATGAGACCCAGGACCCAGAAGGAAGTTTCACAGAAAAAGTTTCAGTTACTATTTCAGGGAGCAAGTTGTCCAATATTGAAGCAAACCATGTGGTCATGAGTCTCAGCATATTACATAAAAGCTGAGGAAAAGCTCCAGGCAAGGAGCCAGACACAAGCCTAAAGTCTTTACAATAAGTTTAAAATAAGCTTTTTACCTGGTCAGACAAAAAGAAATCACACCCCCGTACAAAGGGCAGGAGATGCGGTTTTTAAACCTGAAGATGGTCAAGAAAATGACCATTGTCAGTGCTCTGCTGAAGTTTTCCCCAGACACGCATTTGGCACTGGGCTCTGAGAAGGTGCTGACATTTTTTGAAGGGCTGGTGCCTCCCAAGCAGCGCTCACTGGGGATGCGTTCTCAGTGGATTTCAGGAGGTTGCCCTTCTGAGGGGTCAGTTCTGGGGGGAGACAAACATGGCTCTAGGCAAAGAGCTCCTTCTAAGGGATCCCAGCCCTCCCCAGAGTTTGAGTTACCCACATGGGCCAGCCCCACCCCACAAGAAATGCCTTTCTTGGCTGAGACACCAGGGTTTGGAAAGAGAGTGGCCTTGGCAAAGGGCTGAGCTCAGCTAAGCTGCCCAGTCTCTGTCTACTTCTGGAAAAGGGCAAAAATGGGGCACAGGAGGGCAATGACTCAGCCTAAGCCCTAGTCAGGACCCTCAGCTAGTGACCAGCTAGTCTGTCTTACCTGCTCTGCAAGGTCTTAGGAACCCTCTGTGGGGATACAACAGTGGTGACTTGGCAACTGTTGCCAGGCAACTATTACTAGGGAACTATGATTCAGCAGCTGCCCAAAGGTAAACAAGAGTTTTAGGTGGATGGTGAAAGGGGCCACTGTAGAGCTGATGCGCAACCTCACAGAAGCTGGACAGAACAAGAGGTGGAGAATGAGGTCAAATAGGTTGGGGGGTGCTGAGGCTGAGTAGGGGTCTTGTATAGATAACCCCTCCCCATGTCCCCATGTCTCCCATAAATTATTCCAGGATCATCCTGAGCATTTACAGGGACTCCTTAATTCAGACCTTGTGATATAGGATCTGACACTAAGCCGACCTTACAGCGGCTTTTTTGGTGCCGATTTATAGTTTCCTCCTGAGGTCCTTAGGGCCTGGTGTGACTTCTGCTTCTGAACCCAAGTTTTCATCCATATGGTCCTCACATGTCTTTCAGAGCTTGGTAAGAGTTACAACGGTTTGACAGGGACTATATGGTGCTTCCAAAAAAACAAGACCATATCTTGAGTCCTGGAGACCATGAACATGACTTTATTTTTAAAATAAATGTCTGTACAGATATGATGTATTTTACCAGGTGAACTTTAAACCCAATGACTGATGACAACCTCAGAGAGAATCAGAGACAAGGTATGTGGCCAAAAGCCACGGGGCCTGTGAACTAAGAGGAGGAAGAAGCATGAGGACTCCCTCTACGGCCTTGGCGTATCTTGAAAATTCTGGAAGACAACTGTTGTTTTAGGCTGCTCTCTAACCCTCCTCTCCAGGTTTTTCTGTGGTTCTGCCCATGCTAAGGGGCTCCATCTTTTCTGAGGCTGAGCCTCTCTAGTCACCTATGCGACTCCTCACTTGAGGTCTCTTCTCCCGCTGCAGGGTGGGTGGTTGTGTTAGGCTGAAGGAGCACCATCCACAGCCGTGCCTGTGGGGACAGGAGTGCTGATAGGCTGTCATTCTCCATTTGTGGGACTTAATGTCACCAATCCTGCCCTTTCTATGCTGTGCTGGGGGCAGGGGTCTTTGTGGTTAGTCCAGTGTTGGCTTAGGAGACCTCTCTGCTCCAGATTAGGAGGGTGGGACAGCAAGTGAGCTGGGGCACAGAGCACTTCTGCTAAGCCCTGGACTGAGTTATTGGGGCTTATGGTCTCCAAGCCTAGGCAGGTAGCAAGCTCAATCCTGGAGAGAAGCCAGCAGTCCTGATCCTGGGGTATGAAGGACATTTTCAATTCTCACCCCTGGGGCTGGGGATGTAGCTCAGTGGTAGAG